TTCACATTTTTCATCATTTGGTCTTGAGAAAAAGGGTGGACATTGTAAGCTTGATCAGGCCTGTCACAGTGACACATGAGAGAATATTAGGACTTTCTGAAAAAACAATCGCATATTTGTTGAACAATTTAGTTTTAATAAACACCAAAGATTTCTGTTGAGGCATTGGCATGAGGTATAACCTCTCACATGCTCAAGTAAAGCTCCAGTAATCCAAAAACCACCCTGTCGCAGTACGTCCCGTCATGTCGCGGTTCGCCCCGTCATGTCGCGGTACGCCGTGTCATGTCGCGGTTCGCCGTGTCATGTCGCGGTTCGCCTTGTCATGTCGCGGTTCGCCTTGTCATGTCGCGGTTCGCCTTGTCATGTCGCGGTTCGCCTTGTCATGTCGCGGTTCGCCTTGTCATGTCGCGGTTCGCCTTGTCATGTTCTACATTTGGACAGGGTGGACATTATAACAGTGTCTGAAATGTTGTTAGGAGGCTCATGAGTTGTGTGATGGTAAACAGTTGCCATGCCCTTGTTCACCGTGTCACGTGATTATTTCTTTTTCAGAATAAACAAAACATTATTGTGAACTAGAAAAACTTTTTTTTGTGATGACCATAAAACAAATGAACACAAAATAGTTCTAGGTAAATGAATAAATAAAGATATGTGTTGGACTTGTTGAACAGAGTTGTGTGTCTAAAGCACACAGGCTCTGGGTGTGAAGAGACTCTGAGCTTTCATCATCATAATATTGTGAAGACCAGTCAGTTACAGCGTGTGTTTGTGTGTGCTTGTGTCTGTTTGTGTCTGCTTCTGTGTGTGCGCATTGTGTGTGCTTGTGTGTGTGTGTGTGTGTGTGTGTGTGTGCTTGTGTGTGTGCTTGTGTGTGTGTGTGTGTGTGTGTGTGTGTGTGTGCGTTGTGTGTGCTTGTGTGTGCGTGTTGTGTGTGTGTGCACGTTGTGTGTGTGTGTGTTTGTGCGTTTGTGTGTGCTGTTTAGTAGAAGCGAGTGGAGGTTCGTCTGAGCAGGATGGAGCAGCAGGAGCAGGAGGAACTGGCCCATATCACCAACAAACTGGAGGAGAAATATGTGAGATAAGAGCCTGAGGTTGATGTGTGTGTGTTTTGTGTATCACATGTGTATGTTTGTGTGACAGGGAGGGAAGCCCAGACCCCAGCATCGTGTCCAGGACCTGATCGATATCGGATATGGTTATGACGATGAGGATTCATTCATCGATAACTCTGAGGCTGTGAGTATTGTAGTAGAACTGCAGTAGTGCTGTGTAATGTTCCTTTCACCATGAAAAGGCTGCTAGTAAAAGTATCTGATCTCCATCAGGTGTTACTGTGCACGTCCTGTGTAGACCACTAAACACATGTTCTGAAGTGCTTTCTTGTATTTGTCTTATTTGTCAGGAAGTAACAGTTGGGTGTGATTCGTCTGTTTGTCTGTCACAGTATGACGAGTTTGTGCCCATGTCCCTCACCACCGAGCAGGGGGGTTTCTATGTGAACACAGGGCTCCTGCACTTCAGACAGGCCTCAGACATGGAGCTGGAGGAGCCCCCAGAGGGACTTCCACAGGAGCCTGGTGAGGGGCCCTCAGCAGAGAAGAGGAAGGAGGCATCTAAGGTGAGAGCCCTGGGTGAATGTCTAGGTCACTTTATTGTTCCTGTGGGTAGATTGTTTTTCAGTGAACTCAGACATGGAATCTCTACACACATATAGTGGGCGTGTGTGTGTATTTTATATATATATATATGTATATATATATAATATAATAAAATAAAGGTTAATTTCTTCTTGAATCAAGCCTCATGCTTCAGTGTCTCTGTCTCTCTCTCGTGCTGCTGTCTGTTGTAGAGGCGTAAACTCACAGTTGCAATGGACAAACCACTGAAGAAACGCTGTGAGGACGACTGCGAGAGAGATACCAACCCAGGGCAAGTTACTGTGCGTGCGTGCGTGCGTGCGTGCGTGCGAGCGTGCGTGCGAGCGTGCGAGCGTGCGTGCGTGCGTGCGAGCGTGCGTGCGAGCGTGCGAGCGTGCGTGCGTCCGTCTGACTGTTTTAATTAATTTATCATTGCATTTATATAGTGCCTTTCAAGACACTCAAAGGACTTTTTGGGCGTAGTTTTTTTTTGTTTTTTTTTACAGGTTTTTTTATTGTTTATTCACTCCACACTTAGTGGTGGTAAGCTACTATTGTAGCCACAGTTTTAGTGAGTGGTGCCCCCCTGTAGCACCTGATTTTCCCAGTGGTCTCTTATCCAATACTGACAGACCGAGACGAGATCGGACTTTGATAAGCCGGTATGGCCTGTAGTTAATGTGTGTATGTGTGTCTTTTCTGTGTGCAGTCTCACTGTAGTGTGTGTGTGTGTGTCTTGTCTATTTGCAATCTGACTGCAGTGTGTGTCTGTGTGCTGTCTGCCTGTAGTGTGTGTGTGCCTGACTATAGTGTGTGTCTGTACTTGTGGCTGACAGTCTGAAGAAAAAGAAGCCCACAGCCCTGAGTATTACCAGTGCTTTGAGGAGGTGTGAGAGGGAGAGGCAGAAGAAGGCAGTGGCCCCAATGTGGGGCCCCTCTCTGGGCTTCACCACATTGGCCCTGGGGCCTGCAGATGCAGGAGGAGGAGGCTGCATGTCCTTCACGGCCCCACTCCACAGACTCATGGGGCCCTCAATGGGTCCGGCTCTGGACTCTGATGTGGACTGTGTGCTGGTCAGTGAGGACAGCTCTTCCACCCACTCCCCACCCCCCACATCCACCCCCCCGCCCCTCCCTGATGGGGCCCTGCACACCCAGGGGACGGTCGAGAGGACGGGGACACGCCCCAGAGCGGAGGACACAGTGTCCCAGGTCTGTCCTGAAGACTTTCCTCGTGCTCTGGAGGAGAGCATCCTCAGACTCCAGATGGTGAGCTGCACATGGTTCAGACATGCACACACGTGCTTAAACTGATATGAGACCTGACATGTGCACAGGCCTCCAAGACCTCAGAGGGAGAGTCCAAAGTCAAGTTCTACACCCCAGAGATCAATGAGCTGCTGCTGCTGTAAGTTCCCCATCTCTGTAACAGACAGTGCAGCACGCTGTAACATATACTACATGCTGTAACATATACTACATGCTGTAACATATACTACATGCTGTAACATATACTACATGCTGTAACATATACTACATGCTGTAACATATACAGTCCCTGACAAAAGTCTTGTCGCTTATCCATTTTGTAGAAACAAAAGCTTATAACCTGACTTTAAATTAATCGATTGGTTTTAGAAATGTCTCATATGAAAGCTAAAACCCTCCCAAATTATGCTCAATATACTAAAATAAATTTGCTTTACTGAAGAAAGATTGATCATTTAATGAACACAGAAAGGTCAGATTTTGGCAAGACAAAAGTCTTGTCGCTTTGTCATATGATGCACCCAATCCTAGATTACAGCCTCACCTGTGATCAGTTACTGATCAATCAATTAGTGGGTGTGTATAAAAAGAACCCCAGCACACCAGACCTTCACATCAACTGCAACTTGACCTCTGACAACATGCCTAAGATCCACCCTGAGACCAAAGCGTTAATTATCAAGAGGTTGAAGACCAGATCCACTGCTGAGGTGGTGACACCTTCAATGTGTCTCAGCGTCAAGTACAAAGAATAAGAAAAAGATCTGAAATGACTGGAGATGTTTTTGACAAGCCCAGGTCCAGCAGACCCCGCAAGACAACTGCTCAGGAGGACTGTTTGTTGATTGGAAAATCCAAGGTGGCAAACCGTGTGGCATTTGCCAAGGCCCACAGCCTGCTAAAAGGATGGACACTGGAAAAGTGGCAGAAGGTGAATTTCTCAGATGAATCCTCGATTGAATTACATCACAGCCGCCGCAAATATTGCAGGAGACCTACTGGAGCCCGCATGGATCCAAGATTCACCCAGAAAACAGTTAAGTTTGGTGGCAGAAAAATCCTGGTCTGGGGTTCCATCCAGTCTGGGGGTGTGCGAGACATTTGCAGGGTGGAAGGCAAATATCAATAACCTAAAATATCAAGAAGTATTAGCTCCTCTTACATTCCCAACCATAAAAGGGTCAAATTTTGCAGCAGGATGGTGCTCCATCACATACTTCTATCTCTACATCAAAGTTTCTCAAGGTGAAGAAGATCAAGGTGCTCCAGGACTGGCCAGCCCAGTCACCAGACATGAACATCATTGAGCATGTCTGGGGTAGAATGAAAGAGGAAGCATGGAAGACAAAACCAAAGAATCTTGATGAACTCTGGGAGGCATGTAAGACGCTTTCTTTGCTATTCCTGATGACTTCATCAACAAATTGTATGAATCATTGTTGAACCGCATGGATGTGTCCTTCAAGTTCATGGAGTCATACAAGATATTAAATATGGATCTCACAGCACCACTACTTCATTCACTGATGTTATGCAACATATTTTTGTATTTGAAGTAAATTATTTGTTCAATTTTCTGTAGGTGACAAAACTTTTGTCTTGCCAAAATCTGACCTTTCTGTGTTCATTAAATGATCAATCTTTCTTCAGTGAAGCAAATTTATTTTAGTATATTGAGCATAATTTGGGAGGGTTTTAGCTTCATATGAGACATTTCTAAAACCAATCGATTAATTTAAAGTCAGGTTATAAACTTTTGTTTCTACAAAATGGATAAGTGACAAGACTTTTGTCAGGGACTGTACACGCTGTAACAGATATACACACACGCTGTAACAGTACGTGCACGCTGTAACTGAACACAGATCAGGCGTCTGGTGTGAGCGATTTGCTTGTTATCCATATTCAGTGTGTTTGCAGTAGTGTGATCTGTCTCATGTCATGTGCCTCTGTCAGAATCGACGGGCAGTGCCGACAACATGGAGGACCTCACGGAGGTCCTCTGCGCTCCAGGGTCTACTCCCACCTCTGCTCCTTCCTGCCCTGCAACAAAGACACGCTCATGCGCAGGGTCAACCGGCTCAAGCAATCACGCAACGTACGCCTCATCCACTCACACTGTACAACCGATCATCTGTATGAGCTTCCACCTGTTCTCCATGTGCGCAGGAGAAGCCCGATGAGGAGCAGCTCATGAAGACTCTGAAGAAGGCCATCAAGAAGACCATGCCCGAACAGATCCTCAGCTGGAAGGAGATGTGTGGAGCTCTCCCGTGCACCTCTGTGTGAGGGTCACGTTGGGGTCACGTTGGGGTCATGTGAGGGAATAATGCTGACAGCCAAAAGGTCTTGTATTACTCTTCAGCGATGACAGCGATGTAGACATTTGTAGCAGATTTCCCTTTGATTGTTTGTGATGAGATATTTGTGTGGGAATGTCCGTACATTTTTCCATAGAATATTGTAAGTAGAGTCGGGCTGCTCACAGCGCACGAGTAGGGCTCTATTAGGGAGGTGCACTTGTGGTGATAGTTGCTCTTTTTCTGCAGCGACTCATTATAAGACAAATTTAACTGAAAATGAAGCCAAGTGAGTTCCTTTTGAAAAGTTTTTCAAAGTTTGGTGCAGCGTCTTCACTCACGCCTGCTCAAGCCGACATCTTCAGGTGCGGCCCTGTCCTGCCACTTCCCCAGTTTAGGCTCCTTGCTCCACTAATGTCATCTCTCTGTTACAGCCAATGAAACAGCAGCAGGGGTAACCCTGTCATCATATCACTGAATCTCAGAATGTCTGAGAAACAAAATGTGAGCTAAAACCAGTTCAGTTAATATTGAGTTTGGAATAATCCATCCATCCATCCATTTTCGTCCGCTTATCCGGGGCCGGGTCGTGGGGGCAGCAGTCTAAGCAGGGACTCCCAGACTTCCTTCACCCCAGACACGTCCTCCAGCTCCTCCGGGGGGACCCCGAGGCGTTCCCAGACCAGCCGAGAGACATAGTCCCTCCAGCGTGTCCTGGGTCTTCCCCGGGGCCTCCTCCCGGTGGGACATGCCCGGAACACCTCCCGAGGGAGGCGCCCAGGAGGCATCCGGAACAGATGCCCGAGCCACCTCAACTGGCTCCTCTCGACGTGGAGGAGCAGCGGCTCTACTCCGAGCTCCTCCCGTGTGACTGAGCTCCTCACCCTATCTCTAAGGGAGCGCCCAGCCACCCTGCGGAGGAAACTCATTTCGAGCGCTTGTATCCGCGATCTCGTCCTTTCGGTCACTACCCAGAGCTCATGACCATAGGTGAGAGTAGGAACGAAGACTGACTGGTAAATCGAGATCCTTTCGGCTCAGTTCCCTCTTCACCACAACGGTCTGATACAGCGACCGCATCACTGCCGAAGCTGCACCGATCCGCCTGTCAATCTCACGTTCCGTCCTTCCCTCACTCGTGAACAAGACCCCGGATACTTGAACTCCTCCACTTGAGGCAAAGACTCAGTTTGGAATAATATTGGAATAAAATTATATTTTTGTTTATTAAAATAAAATGGCAAATATTGGTGGGGACTATTTTGTCTTCCCCAAATATTAGTTGTGATATGTCCCCACTGTCCCAATGCAAAACTACGCCCTTGAGTGTACCTAAAACTTATTGACAAAACATTATTACACATACACATTATTAAAACATTAATCAGAAATCTATTCACAGGCCTAATGCTCATGACAAACATTGCAAGTCTCTGTATGCCCAGTCTGATCTTTGACATGGATTCCAAAATTGTACATCGCCTTGTGCTTTTGTTGTGTTGTCCAGGGCCACACAGGAGGAGGATGAGAGTGAGGAGAGGGGAGCAAAGAAGGCCCCTGGACCCAAAAAACTCTTCAAATGGAATGATGAAATCAGGTCAGACTGGACTGTGGGTGATAATAGAACATAATAACGTTTAGGTGAGTGTACGCTGACCTGTCTCCTGTAGAGAGGGTCTGCGGCGACTGCTCAAGCTCAGACTGGAGCAGTTCAAGGAGGAGCACAGGGCCCAGGAGGAGGAGCACAGGGCCCAGGAGGAGGAGCACAGGGCCCAGGAGGAGGAGCACAGGGCCCAGGAGGAGGTGGATCAGTACCTGAGTTCAGTACTGGAGGGGAAGGTGAAACCGCTCTGGCCCAAAGGATGGATGCCCTCCAGGTAACAACCACAGCCACACCTCAGTTCCTCACTAAACCCCAGATCCTCCCCGTGCCACACCCTGACCCCTGTGTCCTCTGTAGGATCCTGCAGAAGGAGGCCAGGAATCTTCTGAGTCCGGGGCTGTAAGTACCTCCACAGAACGACATGTCTTGAGGTGCTGTAGTGTGCAGCACTGACTGCTGCTGCATTAGCTTTGGTATTTCACATGATTGACTTTGCTTAGTTGATTTTTGCAGCATTTGATGAATAAGAATAAAATCTGTAGTCATATTTATCAATGTCTTTTACTGTAAATGTTCAAATCTGATCTCATGTTTTGTTGTAGGGTGAAGAAGTCTGAGAGGAGATGGACTACGATCACTCCAGCGTCATGTGACTCTGGTGTAGTGACTCCTGGACAGAGGGGTGTGGCCATAGACACTGACCCCGCCTCTTCAGACAATAAACCCGCCCACTCCTCTAAGCCCGCCTCCTCAGCCCCGTGCCGCACCCACCTCCAGCCCTCGTTCCAGGAGCTGCTGGTGGAAGCGGTGGCCCGGTACAACCAGTGCACTCAAAGGTGGGGCTTCAGCGAGGCCACGAGCAGCCCCCCCCTGCCCCCTCCACCCCCTCAGTCCAGCCCCACCAACTTCCCCCTGACCCCACTGAGCGCGCTCACTCCCAACCTGGACTCCACCAAGAACATGTGACACCTGTCCATCCCCGCCTGTCCCCTGTGACACCTGTCCATCCCCGCCTGTCCTGTCCCCCCTGTGACACCTGTCCATCCCCGCCTGTCCCCTGTGACACCTGTCCATCCCCGCCTGTCAACCTGTGTGTGACACCTGTCCATCCCCGCCTGTCCTGTCACCTGTGACACCTGTCCATCCCCGCCTGTCCCCTGTGTGTCACACCCTGTCCATCCCCGCCTGTCACCTGTGACACCTGTCCATCCCCGCCTGTCCTGTCACCTGTGACACCTGTCCATCCCCGCCTGTCACCTGTGACACCTGTCCATCCCCGCCTGTCACCTGTGACACCTGTCCATCCCCGCCTGTCACCTGTGACACCTGTCCATCCCCGCCTGTCACCTGTGACACCTGTCCATCCCCGCCTGTCCCCTGTGACACCTGTCCATCCCCGCCTGTCACCGGTCTGTGAACGCTGGAGGACTGGACTCTTTTTAGCCTTGTGTGTTTGGTCGTTTCTATGAATTAACCAGCTATTCTGGATATTTGTCACTTTTGTAATAAATAAAGGTAAGCCTGTGTCTGTATTCAGTGGCATGTTGATGTATTTCAGTAATATCAGGGACTCTGTGCTAGATATGATCCTCCCTCTTCACTCGTCCCCTTTAGTCGTCCAGACCCTGCCCCTCCTCTCCCCTCACTCCAAATAGAACCAATAAGATTTACTCAAATGCACATAAGTATTCTTCTGTAAATACCAGAGGTGGGGGCTTGCAGGTCGTGACTTGGACTCGAGTCAGACTTGAGTCACTATTTTTGGGACTTGAGACTTGACTTGGACTTGAGCACTATGACTTGAACACGTGATTCTTCTGCTAAAAATATGTTTCTGGAAAATACTTTTCTCTTTACAGTTGGTACATGCAGTGCTTAATTTTACAGGAATACACTGGATCATGTCCCTCCCACTTCTCTGTTACTATGGCAACAGTAACTGAAGTACTGTGAGATGGTATCCTCAAATGTACTACAGTAATATACAGTACAATACAGTAAAACAGAAGGAAATGCATAGAACATGATCCTTTCATTTCAGTGCAGATTACACAACAAAATAACTGTTATTAATCACTTTTGAATCTAAATTCTTTCTGTTCTGACTAATGATTCACACTTAGATCTTGTCAAGACATTTAAAAAGGAAAAATGTGCATTTGTACAACTCTTACATAAATACTTGTATAACTTTACCTTTTGAAGTATAATTTAGCTTAAACGTCATATAAATTTAAAAAAATCTAAAGATTTGAAATGACTTGAAGTTCAAAGCAATCGACTTGGACTTGACTTGGACTTGTGGGCCAGTGACTCGAGACTCGACTTGGCATGTATTTGACTTGGGACTTGACTTGGACTTGTGGTCAAAGACTTGAGACTTACTTGAAACTTGCAAAATTACTTGACCCCACCTCTGATAAATGTTATCATTTACATATAAACTGTGTTGCTGTTGGGCCACATTGTTATAATTTGGTGTAATTCTTGCAACATGAGACCAAACCCAGCGTGTTAAACCTAAAGTGTCTCTGATCTGAACAGTCTCTCCCTAAACCCCAGCAGAGTCAGTGCTAGTGCAGCCTCTGCAGCTCAGGGAGAGACTCTGGAGGTGTCTGAGCTTCACATGAGGCCTGATCTGTCTGTGGCCTGACTGTGCATGACATGTCCTCTTGTTTAAATAATATCTCACACATTTGATCATAGATTGTTCCAGACAGAAGGTTTTTAATATAAATAGCCAAAATGAAACAAAAAGAGTATTTACATTTATAAACACACATGTTGCAACAGTATGTTTATCCTAGAGCCAGAGAAGTCCGAGCTGACAGTCTGAGGGAACACAACATTTTGGGCTGTACATGAGCTCAAATAATACTACACATAGTCCATTACACACACAAGTGAAACATTGTCCAACATGAGGTAACCGGCTCAAACATGGGTTTAACTGAATACACTCATATTGTGTAACAAGAAAACCTGTGCACCAGCAAAACTATTCACAATTTACATTTTTACTTAAAGATTTAAAGGTCCTTTATTATGCAAAACAGACTCAGGTGAGTTTTAAATCAGCTATAATACTGTTACCTCCTCAAAAACATCCAGTACCTGGAGCTGTGTTTTGTTTCATTCACATGTTTGAGTAATCCAGGATTATTAGTCTGTAAACTCTATAAAGCTCCAAATGCTCTGTTCCACCTTGTGATGTCATCAAGTGGTAGTTTTCAAGTTAACAGCTATTTTTAGCCTCAGTTGAACTAAAACAATAGATGTAGCTTCAAAGTTTGACTCCAACTATTGCAAATGATTGCAGTGAAGGTGTATGGAGTTTAATAACACAGTGGAGACCTTCCTGTCTCACCACTCAATGAGTGTTTTCAGTGTGTAGTATGGGCCCTTTAATGTGTGTCCACCAAAAAGTGTGTATTACATTTCATGTTTTTGTAGAAAAGGGGTAGTTTATGAATTCAAATGCACAGAGTTTCTCATTGTTCTTCACGCTGGGCTCTTATTGTGGAGGGCCAGAACTGGAGTCGGTCTTTTATTGTGACGGCAGAATTCTCTTACATGTGAAGGATCAGCAGAGCCAATAGGACGGCAGCGCTGGACCCAGAGGCGTGTCCTAAAACACAGGAGGTACATGCACACAGTGGTTATAATGCTGAGGCTTTTCTGTTCATACATTTGTGCAGCATGGTCCTTACAACACGTCGTGCAGGTGAGCAAGTCGACTAGTGTTAACTGTACTGATGAACTCTTGCAAAGTAAAATCTCAAATCTAAATAGATGTGTGTGCTTTGACATAACTGCACCTGATGTCCTGGTCAAGACCTGCAGGCTCAATGTGAGTAGAGTGATTGTACTGTGAGATCCTCTTGTCAGTGTGAGCTGCTGCTCAGGGCAGGGCCATACTGAACATGTTCTGATCATGACATGTATTTCATTGATAACATGAGCTCAAATGCAGCCTGAACAGTATAAAGAGACTTAACAGAGGTCAGTGTGGATTTCCTGACCTGCTCCTTTGGGTCTATGCACCTCTGGGTGCTGCCTCTGGCCCTGCTGGCTCTGTGCTGACACGGTGTTTCTCCCAGCATGCTCTCTGCTGGAGCGAGTGGGCGGGGCCTCCACTTGCTCCTCAGTGACTGTAAACACAAGAGATCAGCCCAGAGTCCACATGTACAGAGGTACTGTAATTTCTGCTCTGTGTACTCACAGTGCACGACAGCCGTGATGTTGTGTGACCTGACCACTGGAGGGGGCTGTGGGCCCTGAGGCCCCAGCTCCAGTCTGGCCTCACACCAGAAGGTGGCCCCATGGTCCTCTCTGCTCACTCTGTAGTCCAGACAGAAACTCTCGGTCACTGGACTCTTGTCTGTTGTGTTGCTTCCTGTGACATTCAGCTCCCTGAAGTTCCTGTAAAAGGTCACCGTCATGTTCTGAGCAGGAGCCACGGCCCCCACCTCACACTGCAGACAGTACACTTGGCCCTCCTCCAGGGGCTGAAGCAGGGGCCCTGAGGAGTCCTCCACCAGGGGCCCTGAGGGGCTCTCCAGTAGGGGCCATGAGAGGTTCCTAAAGGTCACAGACACGCTCTCTGGAGGCTCTGAGGACACACAGGACACACATGGTCAGCAGAGTAGCCAGTGTTCTTCAACAGTGTATCAAGTGTGTCCTGTTTCAGACTTATCCACTGTACTGTGAGCTTATGTTCATAGAAGAGATGTTTCACACTTATCCATTATGCTACTGTGAGCTGTGACCCAGGCCAGTCCACTGAGAATCAGATGTGTGTGCTTTCAACTACTGTCACATGCTTTAGGGAGATCTTACTTGAACAAGAAGTCCTTCTACAGGAGGTTCAGTAGTAGTAGTAGTGGTAACAGTAGTAGTAGTAGAAGTAGCAGCAGTAGTAGTAACAGTAGTAGTAGTAGCAGGAGCAAAGGCAGCAGCAGCAGCAGCATCACTGGTCGCAGGAGTAGTGTTGGTAGTAATAGTAGCAATAGTAGTAATAGTACAGTAGTATTAGTAGTATTAGTAGGCTCTGAGTCAGTTCAGCACCAGAGCAGTGGACAGCTCCTCACAGTTACACCTGCTCCAGCTTCAGCCTATATTTCATGTAATACTTGATGAAATAGCTGTGTCTTGTAAACAGGTCAAAACAAAATACATTTATACAAAGCACCAGCAGATGGCGCTGTAACTAGTTTGTTGGAAGCTAAAGGCAGTCTGATACTGTCCAATGTGCCAAGCTGTGCACTGAAGGCTTTTTAGGCATCCATATGTTAGGTTATATGAAAGGTTATATTGTTGTATTCCTCATCATGTCAGGACTCTTTGTTCAGAATTTCAGGACTATGTGACACTGTATGTGACTATAGCAACACTTTTAAGACACTCCGATCATTTCACACAAGGTGGGTCCCACAAAAGGGTTTTTGGCTCCTGAGACTGAACGGGGCCGAGCAGAAACAAAGCATCCTGAACTCATAATGTCCCAAGGTGAGACTAGTAGTGTCCCGAGGTGAAAAATACTAGTGAGAAAAAGCAGCTAAATAATAGCGGGCTCTAGCTCTAACTAACTCTTCTGCAGTTGTGTTTTGTGTTTTGTGTGTGTTTTGTGTGTTAAACATGTTGCACATGTTTAGCACATGTTTCACACACCCTTTATTATTAGTCTTTCTGCAGCTCCAAAGTTCAAAATGCTCTGTTCCACCTTGTGATGTCACAAAGTGGTAGTTTTCAAGTGAACAGCTCTTTTTCTCTGTGGTTCAATAGAGATCAACAATTCCTGGGCTGAAATCATCCAAATGATCCTGGCGAAAGTGTGTGGTTTAAAAAACACACTGGAGCTCTTCCTGTATTACCACATGACATCACAAGGTGGAACAGAGTGTTTTTTCTTTGAGAGAAGATCTCAGCCTGATTCTGCAGGATTTGTGTTAAACATGTGTGAATGAAACAAATCACAAGTGCAGGTCTGTTTGTGATGAGGAAACACTAGGACATAGATCAGAAAATAAAGTACTATCAGCTCTTGAATAACACGGACGAGCTTCATGCATTACAAAACTAATGTAGGCTGTAGAAGGAGAAACTGAAACTGCATCTTACTTACTAATCCAAAAACATTCAATTTCTTTCTTCTTATGTACATTAACTCCTTGGGTTCTTTTTTAAAGACCACACAGGAGGAGGAGCTGCTGCATCTTCAGACTTGTCCCTGGTGCTGGTGGGGATGTGTCTATATCAGCTGTTGTTACTTCCTGTAAGTGTGGGCAGCCTGATGGACCTGGTTCAGACTGACCACACCTCCACTTGCCTGGTTCATGCTGTCCATGCCCCGTTTCCTGATTTCAATGACCTTCCTGATCCAGCGTTTGAATTTGTTGTGGGATAAAATCCTACAATGCTTACAAGAAGTAACAACAGCTGACCATGCCTACAGGAAGTAACAAGAGCTGACCACGCCTACAGGAAGTAACAACAGCTGATATACGACACGTCACCACCAACACTGGGGACAGTTCTGAAGATGCAGCAGCAGAAACATGTCAACAAGATAAATACACTTTACTGTATTGTCTTTAAAAATGAACCCAAGAAGTTAGTGCAGTTCACTGATCTTAACTTGCGCAGTGTGGGTCAGGGGGTCAGGTTACTCACGGTAGACAGTGACGGGCACTCTGAGGTCACACTTTTCCACCTCAGTCATAGCGAAACACGCAGGATCCAGGATCCATGTTCTCAGGGCCTCCTCCGTCCACAGCGAGAACACACCTCCTGCTTCAGCAGGCGTCTGAGGAGAACAACATCTCAGCATCACCAGGGCCACCAGACTGTGAGGGAACTACCAGACTATGAATGGGCAATCAGACTGTGAGGGGGCCACCAGACTATGAGGGGGCCACCAGGCTGTGAGGGGACCACCAGGCTGTGAGGGGGGCCCCAGACTGTGAGGGGACCACCAGGCTGTGAGGGGAACACCAGGCTGTGAGGGGACCACCAGACTGTGAGGGGACCACCAGGCTGTGAGGGGGCCACCAGCCCTTGAGGGGGCCACTAGACTGTGAGGGGACCACCAGGCTGTGAGGGGGGCCCCAAACTGTGAGGGGACCACCAGGCTGTGAGGGGAGCCCCAGACTGTGAGGGAACCACCAAACAGTGAGGGGACCACCAGGCTGTGAAGGGACCACCAGGCTGTGAGGGGACCACCAGACTGTGAGGGGACCACCAGGCTGTGAGGGGACCACCAGGCTGTGAGGGGGCGACCTGACTATGAGGAGTCAGGGGGAGGAACCAGGAAAACAGAGGACAAGTCTTACCGGTACATCTTCCCAGCCCAGGTAGGTTTCTTGTGTGGTGGAGCAATTGACAGAGACCGGATCTCCAAACCTGCAAAGACAGTCCCAGAGTGTGATGAGTGTGAGAGCAGAAGTGACGTCACTCCAGGTTCATCTGACACACAGATCTCACTTCACACATTCCTGCAGGAGAGACACACACATCCTGGACTGGGAAAGCACCAAAATAACTGGGATGGAGGACAACAAACCCAAACATTGGATTAAGGAGGCTATTGAAATCCCAGAGGACAGAAAACGAGGACGAGGGGGCCTATCAACTTTCAAGGACGACAGACTGCAGATGGCGCTATCCCTTTATAACCAATGCAGGAGGAGACTAGAGCCAAACTCTGAGTAAATCAGCCACAAAACACGTGACTGTAACGTGTCAGGGTGTAAACAACACACAGGTGAGTCAAAAGGAACAACATAACATTGGAAGATCAAATTAAGTTATTTTCCAGGTGTTCTAGAGTCTGTATAATCCAGAAAACATTGACCATGATCAGATGATGTCTTTGATTATTTTTTATAGTTGACTAATCACAATGAGCCAATGAATCTTTGTGGCCCTACACAGTTTCAGTCTTGTTCTGGATGTGTGATAGAAATTTAGATTGTGAAAAGATTTCTTTCAATCTGTCTTTGTGTAAATGAATGTGACTGTTATCTGAAACCCAGAGCAGTCATGAACATGTGTAAAGGTTCAGCACACACAACTGTCTCCTCCTTCAGGAAGCCCTCTATTGTCCTCAACTGGATGTTCATTTAGCATCAGCCTCTGAAACCAAAGTCACTTTGCTTTGATGTGTATGTAACTTGTATTTCTGTAGAAATCCTCAGAGCTCAGATGCTCTGGGGGAGATACGGGGGAGATACAGGGGAGATGGGGCAGGATGTGGTAGGAACATCCTGCTGGAGGAGAAGAGGCTGTTGGTCTGTGGTCAGGGCAGGACTAGGCCCTGTCCATATCTGCTATAATAAGAATAAACTTTGGTCTACATTCCAAAAACTCATCAGGCTTCACAAATGGATTCATATTTATCTTCAAGAGATACATACATTTTGCCACAACAGATGTGTTTGTTTAAAAAACAAAATGAACAGGATCCTATTATTAAAATGTACATAGTCATTCTAATCACAAGTCAGACAAATGTCCCCAGATGTGTGTGTAAGCACCATTTCATAAGGTTTACATAGCTGCATGAATAATTAACAATTCACAATAATTCATTAGTATTTTTTGTATAAAAAGCAATATAAAATGTTTCAGTGCATGATTTTATATGTTTGATTTCAAAGAAATAAATCTGATACATGATTTGCTCTTTTGGGGGCACAGTGCTGTCTATCTGTTGTATTCTCATGTAATTACACGTGAAGAAATGTTGTTCTTGAACTTTGTTGAAAATAAAGAAAGATCTAATTTTACTGCACTGCAACGACATCAAGTTGTAAACGTGTAAGACAGGCTCATTAGTCATCTTTCTTTTGTGAAGAGGGTAAATTAGTAACAAGGGGAAAACAAAGTCAAAGCTTAGCCTCTACAGCATTGTTACCCAAAAAGTGAGGTGGTGACCCTCAGGTGGAGAGGCTGGGTGTAGGTCTGTGTATGTAGGTCTCCTGTGTGCACTTGTGTACATGGATCTGTGGCCTTATTGTCATTCTGGATCAACATTTTGTCAGAATCTCCTGTCCTCAGTAGGACCAGTATGTCTGAGCTTATTCCTTTATATGTGTGGATTGGGATTTTCTGTGCTCACAAAAATGAAGACAAGCAATCATTTCTAATCTTTATATAATTATTTTAAGGACTATTTTGTTCCAATATTGGTGGTTCAATTGAATGTTGAAAAGAAAAAGAAATGAGCTACATTTAATGTCCAAATAGAAGACTTATGTATCTTTTATTGCTGCGTCAATGACTGTTTTTCATTGTTTCAAACTTGAGTAAAACTAAATGTTCAGAGACACGATCACTCACACAAAGGTCTGTGACTTTTAAAATATTGGTCCCCAGAAAAAAATTGTTTGGGAAACACTGATTTACAGTGTGGTTGTGTGTGTGTGTGTGTGTGTGTGTGTGCGTATGTGTGTGTGTGTGTGTGTGTGTGTGTGTGTGTGTGTGTGTGCGTGTGTGTGTGTGTGTGTGTGTGTGTGTGTGCGTGTGTGTGTGTGTGTGTGTGTGTGTGTGTGTGCGTGTGTGTGTGTGTGTGCGTGTGTGTGTGTGTGTGTGTGCGTGTGTGTGTGTGTGTGTGTGTGTGTGTGTGTGTGTGCGTGTGTGTGTGCGTGTGTGTGTGGATGTGTGTGGATGTGGATGTCTCTGTGTGTGTGTGTACATGTGTGTGTACATGTGTGTGCTGGTGTGTGTGTGGGTGTGTGTGTGTACATGTGTGTACGTGTGTGTGTGCGTGCGTGTGTGGTTATGTGGATGTCTGTGTGTGTGTGTGTGTGTGTGTGTGTACGTGCGTGTGTGTACATGTCTGTGTACATGTGTGTGTGCTGGTGTGTGTGTGTGTGTGTACATGTGTGTGCGAGTGTGTACTGACCTGACCACGAGCTCGGGTGGCTCTACCGTCAGGCTGCAGTGGGTGGAGGGGGTGGGGGGGGCTCTGTGGGTCCCAGGTGGGGTCGGGGGTCGGGGGGAGGTGGAGGGAGGCCTGGGTGTGGATCCTCAGAGACGCTGAACGAGACGAACAACAAAACAATCACCTGTTATTCATGTGGTATTCATGTGTCCACACCACGTGTTCAAGCTGCACTATGGAGGCTCTGACACTGCCCTGTTTCCATGGAAATGTCAATACTCTGTCTGGAATGTTCCACAGTGTTCCCCAGACATTACACTCCCCTGTCTCCAGGAAGACAAGGTTTGGAAACATTTCATTTCTCAGTAGGAAAATCTGACCCATCCTTCAGTGAATCTGGGTTAAACCTGCATTTGACCTGTTGTCTCTGTCTCTGACCTGTCCTACAGTGTCTCTGTCCTTCAGTGTCTCTGTCTCATGACCCGTCCTTCAGTGTCCTGTCAGTGTCTCTGTCCTTCAGTGTCTCTGTCTCTGTCCTGTCCTACAGTGTCTCTGTCCTTCAGTGTCTCTGTCTCATGACCCGTCCTTCAGTGTCTCTGTCTCTGACCTGTCCTTCAGTGTCTCTGTCTCTGACCTGTCCTACAGTGTCTCTGTCCTTCAGTGTCTCTGTCTCTGACCTGTCCTTCAGTGTCTCTGTCTCTGACCCGTCCTCCAGTGTCTCTGTCTCATGACCCGTCCTCCAGTGTCTCGGTCTCTGACCCGTCCTTCAGTGTCTCTGTCCTTCAGTGTCTCTGTCTCATGCCCGTCCTTCAGTGTCTCTGTCCTTCAGTGTCTCTGTCCTTCAGTGTCTCTGTCCTTCAGTGTCTCTGTCTCATGAGCTTGTCTCAGAGTCTTGGTCAGGTCAAGTCGTCTGCTTTGAGCTTCAAGTCATTTCAAGTCTTTAAAACAAAGTACCAAATATAGTTTTTTTTTTTTCTTTTTTTTTTTTCCCATTTTTATGACTTTTAAACTAAATTGTACTTTTAAAAAAAGTCATGGTTGTGTTGTAGAGATGCAACTTTTTCCTTTTTAAATGTCTTGACAAGAGTGCAAATTATTATAGTCAGAGTAGAAAGAATTCAGATTTCAGAGTGCTTAATAACAGTTATTTTGTCATGAAGGATCATGTTCCATGTAGTTCCCTCTGTACTGTACTGCATATTACTGTAGTACATTGTACCACATCACAGTACTTCAGTTACATCTAAAGTACCAAGCAGAAGTGGAAGGGACATGTTCCAGTTTGTTCCTGTAAAATACAGCACTGCATGTACCAACTGTAAAGAGAAAAGTATTTTCTAAAAACATATATATATTTTAGGAGAAGCATCAAGTCTTCTAAAGTCACAGGCCTAAAGTACGAGTCAAGTCCCAAGTCACTGACCTTCAAGTCCAAGTCGAGTCCCAAGTCTTAGTCCATTTTATCAGGTCAAGTCTCAAGTCCTAAAAATAGTGACTCAATCTGACTCGAGTTGAAGTGACTTGCAGGTCCCAGCTCTTCCTTTTCATACAACAGAACAAAACATCAACAAAAATAAAAGTCATTTATCTGAAACCTTTGTAAAAGTGTTGAGCCTCAAAGACTGTCTGGTGCCCGTCCACACACACACGGACGTCATGAAACTGAACTGCTGTTAGCTTGTGTCAGCATGAGTCAGTGCTGTGGCTCAGAGGCACAGGGGCAGGCGGGGGTCAGTGCGGAGGTGCCACCCAGCCAAGCCCTGCTGTTGTGAGCGGGGCCATTGTTCTGTGGGTGAATCCGCCCTGTGGACTGTTCCTGGAGGAAGGAAGGACACCCTGCCCTCTCTCTCTCCCATCATTGTTGATATGAGCTGGGCTGGCTCCGCGCAGGCGCCCCACCCACCCCACCCACCCCGTGCTTCCTCCCACCCACCCCACCCGCCCCACGCTTCCTCCCACCCACCCCACCCGCCCCACGCTTCCTCCCACCCAGAGCCAGCGAGCCCACGGCCGCATCCGAGCTCTCCACACAGACCTACTGTAAGACTCAGCTCCCATGAGTCCTCTGCTGCTCTGGCCACGCCCACAGAGAAGAGAGACCCCGCCTCCTAAAATCTGTACGCAACATCATCTGAGTTCAATTTAGAGTAATAATAACAATGTATTTGGATTTTACATAGTGTCTTTCACAACACACACACCACTAAACCAGGACTAAACCAGGACTAAACCAGGACTAAACCAGGACTAAACCAAGACTAAACCAGGACTAAACCAGGACTAACTAAAACCAGGACTAAACCAGACTAAACCAGGACTAAACCAGGACTAAACCAGGACTTAACCAGGACTAAACCAAGACTAAACCAGGACTAAACCAGGACTAAACCAAGACTAAACCAGGACTAAACCAGGACTAAATCAGGACCAAACCAGGACTATACCAGGACTAAACCAAGACTAAAACCAGGACTATACCAGGACTAAACCAGGACTAAAACCAGGACTAAACCAGGACTAAACCAGGACTACACCAGGACTAAACCAGGACTAAACCAGGACTAAACCAGGACTAAACCAGGACTAAAACCAGGACTTAACCAGGACTAAACCAGGACCAAACCAGGACTAAACCAAGACTAAACCAGGACTAAACCAGGACTAAAACCAGGACTAAACCAGGACTAAATCAGAACTGAAAGCACCAAACCACACAAAATCTGAACTAAACGGGGCTAAAACCAAACCAGGACTAATATGATGCTAAAAGGAGCTGAAATACTCTGTGTACTTGTACAGCGAGTCTTTACCAGAGGAACTGGTTTCTCACATGTTAAATTTAGAATAATCTAAAAAATAAACAAAACAAACAAAAAAAAAAAACATGGGAAAAAAGTCCAAAAATACAGGAAACAGCCAAAGACCTCGAACCAAAACAAACAATGTGTGCAACTGTCAGGCAGTTTATTAGTACAGTACATTTAACATGTACTGTAACATGATCATAACTGTTGCCATGGTGATTTGTAATGAGCTACTACTACATCAGACTGCCTCATGCCTTTTTATCACTACTCTGCGGAGTACCTGTAAAACCTCAACAACAAAAAAGCTCAAAATGCAGGTACAGCTACTCACTAGAGCAGAGGAGCAGACAGAGCAGAGTTGGGGTACTCACTAGAGCAGAGGAGTAGAAGGAGCAGAGTTTTGGGTACTCACTAGAGCAGAGGAGTAGAAGGAGCAGAGTTTGGGGTACTCACTAGAGCAGAGGAGTAGAAGGAGCAGAGTTTGGGGTACTCACTAGAGCAGAGGAGTAGAAGGAGCAGAGTTTGGGGTACTCACTAGAGCAGAGGAGTAGAAGGAGCAGAGTTTGGGGTACTCACTAGAGCAGAGGAGTAGAAGGAGCAGAGTTTGGGGTACTCACTAGAGCAGAGGAGCAGAAGGAGCAGAGTTTGGGGTACTCACTAGAGCAGAGGAGTAGAAGGAGCAGAGTTTGGGGTACTCACTAGAGCAGAGGAGCAGAAGGAGCAGAGTTTGGGGTACTCACTAGAGCAGAGGAGCAGAAGGAGCAGAGTTTGAGGTACTCACTAGAGCAGAGGAGCAGAAGGAGCAGAGTTTGAGGTACTCACTAGAGCAGAGGAGTAGAAGGAGCAGACAGACAAGTGTTGGGGTACTCACTATATCAGAGGAGCAGACAGAGCAGAGTTGGGGTACTCACTAGAGCAGAGGAGCAGAAGGACCAGAGTTATGGTACTCACTATATCAGAGGAGGAGAAGGAGCAGAGTCTGTGGTACTCACTAGCACAGAGGAGCAGAAGGAGCAGAGTTTGAGGTACTCACCAGAGCAGAGGAGTAAAAGCAGCAGAGTTTGGGGTACTCACTAGCGCAGAGGAGCAGACCGAGCAGAGTTTGGGGTACTCACTAGCACAGAGGAGCAGACAGAGCAGAGTCTGGGGTACTCACCAGAGCAGAGGAACAGAAGGAGCAGAGTCTGAGGTACTCACCAGAGCAGAGGAGCAGAAGGAGGAGAGTCTGGGGTACTCACCAGAGCAGAGGAGTAGAAGGAGCAGAGTCTGGGGTACTCACTAGAGCAGAGGAGTAGAAGGAGCAGAGTTTGGGGTACTCACTAGAGCAGAGGAGCAGAAGGAGCAGAGTTTGAGGTACTCACCAGAGCAGAGGAGCAGAAGGAGGAGAGTCTGGGGTACTCACCAGAGCAGAGGAGGAGAAGGAGGAGAGTCTGGGGTACTCACCAGAGCAGAGGAGCAGAAGGAGCAGAGTTTGAGGTACTCACTAGAGCAGAGGAGTAGAAGGAGCAGACAGACAAGTGTTGGGGTACTCACTATATCAGAGGAGCAGAAGGAGCAGAGTTGGGGTACTCACCAGAGCAGAGGAGCAGACGGAGGAAGGTTTGGAGTACTCACTAGCGCAGAGTTGCAGAAGGACCAGATTCTTGGGTACTCACCAGAGTAGAGGAGCAGAAGGAGCAGAGTCTGGGGTACTCACTAGAGCAGAGGAGCAGAAGGAGGAGAGTTTGGGGTACTCACTAGCGCAGAGGAGCAGACAGAGCAGAGTTTGGGGTACTCACCAGAGCAGAGGAGCAGACAGAGCAGAGTTTGGGGTACTCACCAGAGCAGAGGAGGAGCTGTGGTACTCACCAGAGGAGCAGAGTGGTGTTGGCACTGAGTGAAGCTGAACAGGTGCTCACCTCAAAAGAGCATCTAGAGTAGCAGTGTTTGGGGTACTCAGAAGTAGGTGGCGAGGTACTAGAGAAGTGGAGTTTGGGGTACTCACCAGAGGAGAAGAAGAGAAGCAGAGATTGGGGTACTCACCAGAGGAGAAGAGGAGGTAGAGTTTGGGGTACTCACAAAAGGAGCAGATGAGTTGGAAGAGAAGAGTTTGGGGTACTCCTGTCCTGTCCATCCTGGCGGCCCTCACGGTGGGTACTCAGAGTGAGAGGAGAGAGTGAGGGGGAGAGACATGAGGGGAGTTCTAGAGCTGTGTGGGCGTTTTCAGAGGAAGGAAGGGAGGCTCCAACAGCAGGCCCTCAAGAACTCCACCAGAAAACACACACACACACGTCTCTCACACACACACACACGTCTCTCACACACACACACACAGACACACACGTCTCTCACACACACACACAGCACACACGTCTCTCACACACACACACACAGACACACACGTCTCTCACACATATACACACACACACGTCCTCTCACACACACACACCACACACACACAGTCTCTCAACACACACACACAGGACAACACGTCTCTCACACACACACACAGACACACACGTCTCTCACACCACACACACAGACACACACGTCTCTCACATACTACAACACAACACACGTCTCTCACACACACACACACACACACGTCTCTCACACACACACACACACACACGTCTCTCACACACACACACACAGACACACACGTCTCTCACACACACACACACAGACACACACGTCTCTCACACACACACACACAGACACACACGTCTCTCACACACACACGTCTCACACACACACACAGCACACACGTCTCTCACACACACACACACATCTCTCACACACACACACACACACAGACACACACGTCTCTCACACACACACACATACACACACGTCTCTCACACACACACACAGAGACACACACACGTCTCTCTCACACGCACACACACACAGATACACACACACACACGTATCTTTCACATGCACACACACACACACACACATCTATAACAGATAATACTCCCTACAACTGTACAACAATTCACCTTGTGATAGAAATTTAGATTGTGGAAAGATTTCTCTCAATCTGTCTTGTGTAAATTAATGTGATTTCTACCTGAAACCCAGACCAGTCATTAACATGTGTAAAGGTTCATCAGGCACAACTGTCTCCGCCTTCAGGAAGCCCTTTGTTGTCCTCAACTGTATGTTAATTTAGTACCACCCTCTGAAACCAAAGTCACTCTGCTTTGATATGTATGTAACTTGTATTTCTGTATAAATACTCAGAGCTCAAATGCTCTGGAGAGGGAGATGGGAAGAGACGGGAGGAGACAGGGGTGAGAGGCTGTTGGGCTTTGGCCGAAACAGGCCTAGGCCCTGTCCATATCTGCTGTAACAAGAATAAACCTTGGTCTATATTCCAAAAACTCATCGGGCTTCGCAAATGGATTCATTGTTTATCTTCAAGAGAGATATAATTTTTGCCACAACAACCCTTATGGAACAGATAATACTCCCTACAACTGTACAAAAACTCACCCTTATGGAACAGATAATACTCCCTACAACTGTACAAAAACTCACTTATGGAACAGAAATACTCCCTACAACTGTACAACAACTCACCCTTATGGAACAGATAATACTCCTACAACTGTACAAACTCACCCTTATGGAACAGATAATACTCCCTACAACTGTACAACAACTCACCCTTATGGAACAGATAATACTCCCTACAACTGTACAACAACTCACTCTTATGGAACAGATAATACTCCTACAACTGTACAAAAACTCACCCTTATGGAACAGATAATACTCCTACAACTGTACAACAACTCACCCTGATGGAACAGATAATACTCCCTACAACTGTACAACAACTCACCCTTATGGAACAGATAATACTCCCTACAACTGTACAACAACTCACCCTTATGGAACAGATAATACTCCCTAAACTGTACAACAACTCACCCTTATGGAACAGATAATACTCCCTACAACTGTACAACAACTCACCCTTATGGAACAGATAATACTCCCTACAACTGTACCACAACTCACCCTGATGGAACAGATAATACTCCCTACAACTGTACAACAACTCACCCTTATGGAACAGATAATACTCCCTACAACTGTACAACAACTCACCCTTATGGAACAGATAATACTCCCTACAACTGTACAACAACTCACCCTTATGGAACAGATAATACTCCCTACAACTGTACAAAAACTCACCAGTTGACACCAGTTTCTTGATCTTTTTTGCTACATATTTAGAATATATTATTACCATTTATATTTTCACTCTTTGTTATTCTATCATATTGTGATGTGAGCTCCTGCGTCCAAATCCTTTCCCTTTATTGATCCCTTATGGATCAATAAAGTTTGGTTAAGTCGAAGTCTGTTACTACTGCTACATGTGGGCTGTTAGTTGCATCACAAACTCCGCATGCCACGATTACACACCGCTTAAACGTACTTTATTTGTCTGATCTGAAGGATAGTGTTGGGGGAGTAACAGATTACATGTACCGGACTTATGTAATCAGAGTACAAATTATGAGTAACTGTATTCAGTTACAGTTACTGTTTCCATGTGTGGTAATTGCATTACAGTTACTTTGTTGAAATAAATGGATTACACGGTGCTATTTTCCTGTTTTCACATTTTGGGCTATTCCCCCTTTTTTTTTTTTATAATTCCACTCATTGCTGGACACTAAAACAGGTCTAAAACCAGGTCTAAACCAGGACTAAACCAGGACTGAACCAGGTCTAAACCAGGACTGAACCAGGTCTAAAACCAGGTCTAAACCAGGACTAAACCAGGACTGAACCAGTACTGAACCAGGACTAAACCAGGACTGAAACAGTACTGAACCAGGACTAAATCAGGACTAAAACCAGAACTACACCAGGACTAAACCAGGATTTAACAGGACTAAACATGCTGTGTGGACCGTGTCTCGTTGTCTTCTATCAATAATATTTTTTCATTTGGTTCAGCAAACTCTGGGCTCTTTATTTTATTTTATCAGACAAAACTTCTTATGTGAAGATTTCCTAGTCTTTGTTTCTCTACAGCAAATCAAGTAATCCAAAGTATTCAGATTACGTTACTCACTTTAAGTAATTTAATGCATTATGTTACAAACTACATTTTGGGATATGTAATCTGTAATCTGTAGGGAATACATTTTAAAAGTCACCTTCCAAACATTGCTGAAGGATGATACTTAAATATGACCTAGTTATTTGCAGCAGACCTAAACAGTAACAACATGTAAACTTTCCACAAATTCAAGTTCAAACAATGTGGGAATCCAACCATGCACCTTCTGGTTATGCTTCCTCCCACTGCTGCGGCTTGTGCCAACGCAATTTCCTTCCTGCTGCCACAAAGCGAAAGTTCAAAACAGCGCCATTTTCTGTGCAGTTTGCGCCTTCTTCACATCGGAGCTGAAGTGAGTCCTGTCTGTCTGTGCCTGTCTGTGTGTGTTGGGGTTCGTGTATGTGTGTGTGGGTGTGTGTGTTGGGGTGTGTTTGTGTGTGTGTCGGCAGGTAGGCCAGTGCGCTAAGGTGCCACCACGGTGCGTCCGAGTGCCAGAGACGCATCTAACTTCGAGATGAATGAGAGAATGAGCAGGGTCCTCTCTGCACGGCGTTTAAAAGTCCAATATTACGCAAAACTGACTCTTGTGAGCTTTAAGTCATATTATAATGTTGTTACGTAGTCAAAAGCATATCTGGAGTTGTGTCTTGTTTCATTCACATGTTTGTGTAATCGTTTATTATTGCTCTGTCTACATCTCCAAAGCTCAAAATGCTCTGCTCCACCTTGTTTTCTAGTTAAGTTTTACCTTTAGTTCAGTAGAAATGGACAATTCCAGGGCTGAATCCATTCAAATGATTTTAGTGAAGGTGTATGTAGTTTAGAAACACAGTGGAGCACTTCCTGTATTACCACATGACAACATGACATCACAAGGTGGAACAAAGTGTTTTCTGTTTTAGAGAAGAACTGAGCCTAAATATGCAGAGTTTGTGTGTTAAACATGTGTGAATGAAACAAAACAAAACACAGCTCCAGGTGTGTTTGTGATGAGGAAACTACATTAGAACAGATCAGAAAATAGTGTCATATGGACAGTTTAATGTAAAACGCTGCATTCCCACAGTCCAAAACGTCTTTTATCTTCCAGTGGTGTAGGTTGTTCATAATCTTCCCAGCTCACATGATCACAAAGACAAACACGTCATTGGCTTTCACTCATTTTTATTTATTCATTTTTTTTTTTATTTATTTGAAATAGGGACAAAACACATTACTGAACATATACATGGTATGTAAATATGTTATCAGATTGTAGCACAAGGCTAATTTCCATCTGCTGTCCCTGGACAGGTTGATGTGATCATAAAGCAAATACACACAGTAAAAAAAAATACACCCAGACAGACAATACAATAATACAACTAGACAGACATAAAGAGCTGGTCAGTCACAAGAGCACAGACACAGGTCAACTAAAGGATGTTGGATTATTTGATCAAAATTGCACACTGCCCTGTTTAGTTAAGGTGCCAGTGTATAAGTATTGAACACAGCCTATTGCTAAAATTATTATAGTACTTTGCACAACCCTAAAAAAAGAAGAAAAAAAAAGTGCAAGGTGAGATTGCTAAAAACCCGGCTTATAAAGTGCTATTCTACAATATATTGCATGTGTCCTCAAAGGTAAAATTCTTTAGTATATTGCATATTGCCTGTAAGTAAAGTATTAAAATACTTAATAAATAGTATATTGCACATTGCCCATTGCACATTGTAAACTATAGTAAATGATCACACACCTGTGTTGACCTGAGCCACGTCTTTAAATGACCTTTAAAAGTAGTGAAGCTGGGGGAGTCTCTAACTGTGGGTGGTCGACTGTTCCACACAACACTGCTCTTATATGAAAACACATTTTGACTGAAAGAGGTTTTTCTATCAGGCACCTCACAGTCACCTCTGGCTGTGGCCCTGGAAGAGCGAGATGTAACAGCTGACCTGTACCTAATGTAGTTCTTCTCTCAAACTACTACTGCGTGACATCACAAGGTGAAACAGAGCCTATTGAGCTTTGGAGATGATTATTCAAACATGTGTGAATGAAACAAAACATAACTCCAGGTCTGTTTTTGAGGAGGTGACAACATTGTAACATGGCTTCAAGTTTAAAGACTCAAAACTAACCCCCTCCACTTTGTCCCTGTGGTCAGAGGGAGTAGCCATGTCGGGGGCGCAGGTACTCCTGGAGGCTCTGGAAGATCTAGAGGAGGATGACTTCCAGACATTGAAGTGGTACCTGTCTCAGAAGCTGGTGGACAGCCGCAAGCCCATCGCACGCAGCCACCTGGAGAAGGCCACACGCACCCAGACCGCAAGCCGGGTACTCTCCACCTATGGCCCGGACACTGCTGTGGAGGTGTGTGTGGACGTGCTGACCAGGATGAACAAGAACAAGTGTGCTCGAGAGCTGCAGCAGGCGTATGCAGGTAGAACTCACAGCAGAGAGCACACCACAAGAGCACCCTAGACCACAGTATGTACAGGTACTCCTCACAGCAGAGAGCACCCCACAAGAGCACCCTAGACCACAGTATGTACAGGTACAACTCACAGCACAAGAGCACTCCAGACCACAATGTAACTAGAAATTTTATCTCTTCACTGGCTGTCTTGCCAAGCATCTGACTGCCCAGATTCATTTCAATCAGCTTTCTCTTTTTCTTAAGTGCTAAAAACATGCCTCACTGTGCCCTCTGACCTCCTCCAGCCTCACACCAGCACCTTCTCTCAGGTCAGCTGAGCAGCTCCTCTTGAGTGACAGTGCTCTACAGCCTCTACTGGTCTATGACACCTGTACTGGTCTGTTTCACCTGTACTGGTCTGTTTCACCTGCAGTCACTGTGGCCAATGTTCAAAAACTAATTGTCTTTAGTTTTGCAGAAGTGAAGCCACAGTGTGGCCAGTGCTTTTGTACCAGAGTACTTCACTAGAAGCAGAGTACTTTACTAGAAGCAGAGGACTTTACTAGAAGCAGAATTCTTCACTAGAAGCAGAGTACCTCATAGGTTCAGAATGTTATGACATGACATAAAGAGAGGCTCCTCTGTGTCTGTGCCATGGTTTTGATTATGAGACTAACATGTGTGTTTGACTCTGTAGCTCGACCTGACGCTGCAGTGGGACCTGCTCCTGGTGCTCCGACTGGTCCTGGTGCTCCCGCTGCTCCTGGTGCTCTGGCTGCTCCTGGTGCTCCGGCTGCTCCTGGTGCTCCGGCTGCTCCTGGTGCTCAGGTGTCTCTAACCGCTCAGGATGGCAGTGTGATCATGGCCCCAACAATTATTGGAGGAAGCGCGGGAACATGGACTTTTACCCTCAACAAATAAATTATTTATACCATAAACTGCATGTCCTGTCATCTGTGTTAACGAGCAGTCTTCTGTATCATTATTTTATAATTCTACAAGAGTAAAGAATATACATTGAACCAGAAGGCAAATGCTTTATAAAACCTGGGCTGAATTAAAAAAAAATATAAATGATTTGGTGGTTTTCTTGGAGGAGGTATGATGGAGATATGTTGTTTTAAATCAATAGAAACAGGTTTAATTTTCATAAATCTGAAACTCCTGGATAATTCTTAACCTTTTATCACAACCTGGACTATATTAGGGTCAGTCTGTATGAAATCTGTCATTTTCAAGGAATCTTCCTTATGAGCCATCTCAGATTTGACTGAAATTTCTAAAATCACCAAATGAAAGAATCTCAAATTCCTTGAGTTGTTCCTGAGTTATGGCCTGTTGAAATTTGGTCACTTTTTGGGACACCTTAATTTATAAAAATGTTTGAAAGACCATAACTTCATAGAAAATAGAGCTAGGAAGATGAAAATGTGTATTATTGTAGATTCTTGGTCAAGTATTTGGTATTCAATTTTTGGTTGCTCAATTTTTTTGTCAATTTTTATTTTTATTTATTTATTTATTTGATTGGGACAGAGCATGTTAATGAACAAACATGACAACATGAATGTAAACACACCGGATTGTAGCCTAAGGCTAATTTCCATCCGTTGTCCCAAGGGCTGGGGTCACAGGGGGCCAGACACTAAAATATTGCACACTCCACTCATTATATAGTTCCATTCATTGCACAGTTCCCATTCATTGCACAGTTCCCATTATTGCACAGTTCCCATTATTGCACAGTTCCCATACATTGCACAGTTCCCATTCATTGCACATAGAAAAACAATTAAAATCACAGAGCAGTTATACATGTGTACATGTTTGATTTGACCATAACCAAGTTTTTGTTTGAGCTTTAAAAGAGCTGTATGTGGGGCTTTCTTTCAGGGTCAGTGGAAGACTGTTCCACAGATTTCCACCTTGTACAGATAAAACATTCTGACCAAAGGTGGTCCGTCTCTGGGGTATGACCAAGTCACCCCTGGTGGTGGCTCGTGTGGTTCTTATTGAAATGTCTTTACATTTAATGTAATTATTTAATGGTGGTGCCAGGGAGTGTAGAACCTTATAAATTAGACAAGTCCTTTTGAGTTTGACCATGTTGCTAAAATCTAGAAGCCTGTGCTTTTTCAGTATGTGACAGTGGTGGTGGGAAATGGGTTTTCTGTCAAGTATTTTTAGACCTCTTTTATAGAGGTTTTCAATGGTTTTAAGTGTTGTGGGGCAGGCAAGAGACCAAGTAGTTAAGCAGTAATCGATGTGAGAGATAATCATTGAATAGAAATAAGTTTTTGCAGCATTCATGTTTAAGTTATTCCTGATATGACGGAAGTTCTGAATGTTAAACTGGATAACCTGGGATACTTTTTTATCATGACTTTTGAAGGATAGTGTTGAATCTAGAATTACTACGAGGTATTTAAATTCTGAGACCAGATCAAGTTCAACTCCATTAAGAAAAACGTTTGATTGCTTCAAATCGGTGTGACGTTTTGAGAAGTACATGCAGACAGTTTTTTTGGTGTTTAGCAGAAGGCACGAATCCTTGAGCCAGCTATGCACAGACGATAAGGAAACTGTGAGGTCCTCAGCAACTTGCTGAAAACTTCTGGCTTGAGTATAGATGACTGCATCATCCGCATACATCTGTGAAAATGTATTTGGACAAGCATTTGGCAGATTATTATTATTTTGAGGTCCAAGATCCACTGACTCCAAGCAGATATTTACAAACTAACTGCTGAACCTGAATATTTGAGAGAATGACCATTTCTGACACAAATCTCACACTTTTCTGAGCTTTCATGTGGATGGTGTAGAGTCCCAAATCTGGTCACAGACCAAATGTGATCTTTTTGGCCCCTTCTTTGGAGCCTCGGTTCCCCCTGTGGCACAGTTAGATGTTGATCAAATTTTTACCAGAGAAACTTTGGCATATTCTGATTAGTTTAAAGAACCCCCCCAACAGATTCAGAATCTATGACCAACAATCTACAATAATACACATTTTCAGCTTCCTAGCTCTATTTTTATGAAGCTATGGTCTCTCAAACATGCTTGTAAATTAAGGCTTCCAAAAAAATGAGCATGGCCCCAAAATTTCAATGGGCCATAACTCAGGAACCACTCAAGGGATTGAGCAAAAATTTGACATTCTTTCATTTGGTGATTTTTTCAGCCATATCTGAGATGGCTCGTAGGGGGGGCGGCTGATTTCATATGGACTGATTCATATTGGTATTGCAAAATTAGACTTTGTTGCTCATTGTATTGTCATAAAATTAAACACACAAAAAATAGAGACCACACTGGTCATTAAATTATTTAAATAAAAATGATTTGTCCTACCATAATCTTAACAAAATCTTAGGGAAACGCTGCAATCAGAATGAAAAAAAAAAAAAAAAAAAAAAAAAAAAAGTTATCTTCTGACGTGGAAGTGCAGTCACGTGACCGTTCTCACCCGGAAGCGCAGCGTGATTCACGTGACCAGCTGCGGCGCTCGGACTCTCGGTGCCTTTCCCCGTCTGTACCCGAACATCCAGCGACCCTCTGCGGCCCGCGCACTCAGGACGGACCCGGGGACTGCTTCTGTCTCTCCTCCGCGTTCCGCTCTGCTCTCCGCTCTCCCCGGAGCAGAGGCCCTCCCGCGGCTAGTGCTGACGTCTGTGGCCGCACTGTCGCCTTCCCCCGCCGCTGGAGCAGTATGGGACCAGGAAGCGCAGCAGCTGTCGGGCGATGAACGCACAAAGGACCGTTAAACCCGCGCTTCACACGTTACACGAGTGTAGGTCCTGATCGCAGCCGCGGTAGACGCCTGGATCCCCGCAGAGAGTGCAGCTGGAGCTCCGGGGCCGCCGGGAGCACGGTCGTTTGTTTTCGCCGTTAGCATTAGCTTTAGCTCGGCTAGCGCGTTAGGCTCGGGTCGCTCCGGGTGTGATGACGGGGATCAGGATGGGTCTGGCCGGGGCACAGAGGAGATGTTGGCTCGCAGTTGTGGTCCTCTTCATGCTGATTATGGAGTGCACGGCTCGGATACACAAGCTAACGCTCAAGGTAAACTCCGCGCTCCGTGTTGACAGGCTCATCTGTTAAAATGTCCTCCGTGTAACGCTGCCGTGGCATGGACTTTACCTTTCCACTTTATACATGCATGCATCCAGTGTTCTTTTGTCTTTGTGCCTCTTAAATACTCATTGCATTTTTCGTTCACTTGACACTTGTAGCCACAGCAGCCCTGGGGTAGAATGACATAAATTAGGCCTGCCAGTCTGCGCCATCGGCCCCAGACTAGTGTGAAAATGTCCTTTATAGCACAAAATGGATTCTTGTGTACTTGTTACCTCCTCAGCAGGAAATCAATTGGAAAGTCCCCTTGAATTGTACCCTTTATGAAAGACTGTTTTCATGAGTAAAATGTTTGTGTTTCATATTTACTTTGCACAAGAAGTGGTTTAACAAAGACTTTTAGTATCACAGCCATGATTTAGCCATTATCTTTATTTGACTGTATTGAATTGATTTGAAATATATTCTATTGAATCATAAGCTCACTGTATCAAGATATGTGTCCAATATATCGAGGTATGCCTTGTAGCAGCAACTTCTTTATGATACCCAGCCCTAGTAGTCACAGCAGCCCTGGGGTAGAATGACATAAATAGGCCTGCCAGTCTGCACCATCGGCTCCAGACTAGTGTGAATTAAAGCTCCTGTATAACACAAAATGGAACCTTGTGAGCTTCAAACCATGTTCAACAGGAAATCAGTTGGAAAGCCCCTTGAACTGTACCCTTTACGAAACTACATATAAATAAAAACAAAACAAAAACAAAACACTTTTTTCATTATATATCCATATATTGTATTAATTACTAGGGATGGGTATCATTAAGAAGTTGCCGATATGATACATATCTCGATTCAGTGAGCCTTTGTTTTGATACAGTATATTTCAAATCGATTCAATGCAGTTAGATAAAAATAAAGGCTGAATCATGGCTCTGACACTAAAAGTCTTTGTTAAATCACTTCTTGTGCTATGAAACACAAACATTTTAATAATAAAAACAGTGAAAATGTCAAATGTGTTGCATGCACCGCAAAAAATAAAATCTAGCCAAATTAAGAGTAAAATGTATTTAAAAAGTAAAATGATCTGCCGGTGGAATAAGACTTTTTGTACTTGACATATGAAAATACAACTGGCTACACTTAAAATAATAATAACAATAACTCCAACTCTTTGACCTTAAAATAAAAAACAAAATCGAATGTAGCTTGAATTAAGAAAAACACACTTATTCCATTGGTAGAATTTACTCCAATAAAATCAAATGTTCTTAATTTAAGTCATTTTAACTCACCTAAATATTACTTTTTGCAGTGTGAACAAGTTTCCTTCCTTTAAACAAGCAACAAAACTGTAGCTGTAATGAAAAAAATTTATAAAATATATATAAAAAAATGCTCTTGGCGATATACAGAAGCCAACAATATTATCAATACTGTTGATCATATCAATATTGCAATATTTTTGCACAGCCCTGTTTATTACACATGCAATGTGCAATATATCTCAAAACATTTGTGTGCAAATAATGACATGGTCTCAAACACACTCTTTAGCTTTCTAAGTTTCTTGTGTTGCACTGCTTACAAATTATGTTCATGGCAGCAGGTAAGAAAATAATATTTCTTCCCAAATCAACAGTTGCAGATGCTATAGGACATGGGGAACAAGAAAGAAAACATGTAAAATATGATTTCATACTAAACTTCTGCGAGCAAATGAAGATTATATTGATGTTACATAGTGAAAGAATGTGTGCCGCTTCGGGAAGATTGGTAAAATGACATAAACAAGGCCCGACATTTGGTCTGGCACACAGTGCCTGACGCGGCCTATGAAAGCTCGGTGAGAACGTCCCCCCTCCCCCAGGCACAGCAGGTACCCATGAGCCACCCAAGAGAAGGGGGCACCCAGAGGGAGGAGGGGGATGTTCCTGCTGAGAGAATGGGGTGTGCGGGCTGGGACTTTCAGGCCAGAGGGACGCTCACGCCGGTATTCCCTCAGCAACATACCTGGGGTTGTGTTTTGTTTAGGGTTACCAGACGTGCCTATTTACCCGCAGCAGTCCCAGTTTTGAGCCCTGTGTCCCCTGTCCCAGCAGATTTATCCAAAACCAGTGATTTGTCCCAGTTTTATACAAGAAATGTCCCAGGTCTCTCTATTTTTGACCAATTTGACACTTGCCTACAGTAAAGAGAGGCATAAATTGCCATTTGTTTAGGTAAAATACAAAAAAAATGCTTAAAAATGACCAAAACACAGAGAAAATATGGCTGTACTTGCTCACGTTAGTCATGAATGGTCTCTGCATTACAATTTTCCTTTATTATGCACTTATTTTACATTATTATTTCCTAGAACCATCCAAGTTGACAGCTCTTTTTTTACCTTTAGTTTAGTTGAACTCGGCAATTCTATGACTGAAATGATCCAAATGCTTATAATAAAGCTGTACGGAGTTTAAAAACACAGTGGAGAATATCCTGTACTGCTGTTGTTTTTGTGTGTTTTTGTGTTTGTGTTGTGTAGTGTGTTTTCTCAAACAGAAAACACAACAGCCTAAACTTGCTTGAACTCAGCCTAAATATGCAGGGTTTGTGTGTTAAATATGTGAGAGAAACAAAACACAACTCCATGTTTGTGATGAGGAAAGAACTCTATAAAATAGATCAGAAAATAGTGTGAAGTTATTAATTTGCATTTTTACATATAGATACAGATGTTTTATGTTTAAATCATTGTTTTTGCATGAGGTAGTGTGCTGGTGTGGTACTTTGAGGGCAGCCGGGGCCGGTTCATAGATACTGAAAAGTTTTTTTTAGTCCACTAATTGTTCAGCAGGACATGTCTGTAGATGATCAAGAATTTCTCTAGTAGACTGTATAGAGATAGTAATTTGCATAGTTCATTATTATTACTACTTACAAAGGGTGTGTTCACTATTAGACTCACATTATAATTGGAATTTAATCCAGAAATAAACCTGGACTGGACAAAGCCCACACTGAGCCTACAGCAGGACTAAACCGTGCTTTTAAAATGCTAAGTGTACCATGTGTCTGTAATGGTGTCATCATGATAAAAAGATATCAAACACTTTTGATACTTAGGAATTCACTTTATTCAATACCAGATGCCACAATGAAGATGAAGAAATGCAATTTTTTCAGTAATAGAATGTAAATTTCATTTGCAAAATAATAGTACTTTTTTTTTTTTCTTGGCATGAGGTCTTGTATTCACTCTTACCCCACTTTTACACCACTCTTACACTACACTACTCTTAAAGGTTTATGGACAGAGGTTTACTCTTCAAGGACTATGGATCAGTTTGTAGTAAAGTTAAATTGCATAATTTGGGGAAAATAATCAAATGGCGCCTACATATTGACCCAAAAGTATCGGGAGCGCTGACTGGTTTAAAAAAATCCATATTGGTCGATCACTCATTAGTATGTGATTTTAATATTTTTAACACTCCTTTTCTCTAATTTGATGTTTTTCTGCTGTAGAATGAAACGCGCTTCCTGGTCCAGCTCAACACTTTTGGTTTCTATGCCAACGGGACCCTGGACGTGAACCTGATGGCGCTGAGCTTCTCTGAGCAGCAGGTCAACCACCTGGTAAGACACCAGAGAACAGAGCACAATGGAGCACTTTGTGTAGTACCACATGACATCTCGTTTTCTGTTTGAGAGAAGAACTCAGCCTAAATGTGCAGGGTTTGTGTGTTAAACATGTGTGAATGAAACTAACCACACCTCCACGTCTGTTTGTGATGAGGAAACTACTTTATAAATCCATTTAAGTCATATTTAAATGCATATCTCACATAAATGTGTAAATATAATACATGTGCTTTGAGGAGGTTTACAGTACATCACTTGTACTACAAATTAGGGATGCACCAATCCTGCCTTTTCAGTTCTGATACCAATATCAATACTTTGGCTTTTGGTATCTGTCTATCCAGTATCAACTGATGTTAGTGTATAGACTTTTATTTCCATCAGTTAACTAACTACAAAATTAAGCCATCTGTGTTATTTATCCAGCAATAACTGTTGAACAGCTTTGTATGAATAAAAGTTTAAACATTATGAGATGTTCTAGGTAAATGGTAAATGACCTGTAAATAAAAGACTCAACCATGATATCGGCTGAACCAATATCATGCAACCAATACCTGTTCCCCTGAAAAAACAGTCAGACATCTGGTGGTACGTTGGCTTTAGCAGCACATAATTGAATTGATTCCATATTTACAACAAAAGTGTAATTGAATAGTATTTGGAAAAAAATAAAAAATAAATTGTAGTGAGCGCTGTTTTGTATAGAAGGCAATGTAACGGTAGCTTCTGTACTTTACAAGTGAAGGGATAGTGTGAGAATGAGGTAAGTTTAGGGAAAACTCAGCTCTAGGATTTCATTTACGGTAGAAGAACAGGGTGACAGGAGCTCAGCTGGCTCAGTCCAGTAACTTGAAGGTTGGTGGTTTGAATCTTGCTCTCAGCATCATTGGTAGAGCGGTCAGATCAACTGACCCATAGGTTGATGGTGTGATTCCTTCTCCCAAAGATGAATGCTGTTGTTGTGTCCTTGGGCAAGACACCCCCCTTGCCCCCAGTGTTTGTGTACTCTGACTGTGTGTGTGCGAATGGGTGAGTGGTTCTCTGAAAGCGCTTTGAGCCTTTGAACAGCGCTCTACTGGCCATTTACCATTTAGATAATGGAAGACAAAACATATGTTTCAGTTGAATTCAGTGTGTTTTAACAGCGGCCAAAACCACAACAGCCGTCACCTCACAAGGCCACAGGTTTGACAAGACAAGTTTAAGGCACACTGCTTGTTTTTTTTACTGTCTTTAAAAAACATGAAAAACAGAACTAGAGACCACATCCTCAGATTCCCCTATCACAAAACTATTTCTGACCCCTGACCCCTATGCATGTCGAGTAATGAATGTGGAGTCCTTCTTTGAGTTTTGGTCAGTGGATTGAATTGGGTTATGGAGTGAGGAATCGGATTGAGACTGCACCTTTATTTTGCTTTCATTATGTCTGCGCTTTAAACTCGTCCTAACCAGACTGTGTCCTGCAGGTGGGATTCAGCCTGTCCAGGTCTCGTGTGAGCGGTGTCCTGTCCTACACAGTGAGTACACTTACACTATACACCTGTGTCATAAGTACGTACTTAAAGCGACACCAAACTTGAACATGTCCTTTTCTCAGGCCGAGGAGACGGACAGCTGTCCTCTGACCGCCACGAAGTCCACCAACAACGAGCCTCTCATCCTCTTCTTGCTGGACACCTCCTCACTGCGGTCAGTCTGCTCTGCTGAACTGTACACCCACCAGAGACCTGAGATAACGGAGCCCAAATAAGAATCAGAAAAATCCCACAGGTTTTCACGTATTTTAGAAGTTCTCATGTCAAGTTCTCTCTATGTCAAGATGGATTCTCATGAATTTGTGAACTCATAAATCTCGTGAGAATCCATTTTGCTGTACAGGATTACTCCTCTGTCCTGTCCGTCAAAGTTCTCACAATAATATCGCGGACTATCACACTATATTGAATTACAAGTCTCTTTGCTTAAATGAAGAGTTATGGTGCAGCAGAGGCTAAAAAAAAAAGACAGGAAACTACATAGATCATGATCCTTTGTGCCATTTCAGTGCAGACTACAAAAAGAAATAACAGTTCTAAGCACTTCTGTGTCTTAGTTCTTTGGATTAAGTCTTGTGAAGGTGTTTTAAGATAAAAAAGGAGCAGATTAACAGTTTTGCTTGCCTCCATAAAATATTGCAATAAATATCATACCGTGAGATGTATATCATGAAAATATTGTACCGAGAGATTTGGATGTTGTTACATCCCTAATAGTGAGCCTCTTTACCATATCGTGAGCTTTCCCACGATATCGCAATAAATATCGTACCGTGAGGTTCATACCGTGACGATATCTTATCGTGAGACTTGGATATCGTTACACCCCTAACACTTAGTATTTTTCATATTGCCTTAAGAGGTAATTGGAGTGTTCTTCTGCTTTCGAGAGTTCACACTTCATTGTGAGTGGGTAACATCTAAACTGTTGTTGTTACTGTTGTTCCAGAGTCAATGTGAAAGTGATGGGAGAACAAGACAACATCCTGACCGGGCGCAGAGTGGAGCCAGGTGGGCTCAGAGCTGTACACTCTTCTCTGTTCTTCAATCAGACTTTTAAACATGTGTTTTTTAATTTAGAGAAAAGATCCAAACGAGAGGACACACAGCCCGCTGAAACAAAAGTAACTGTGGCCAAGTCAGTGATCGCCGCCGCTGCCACTGCACAGAAGAAGACCCCCACACCACAGAAGAAGGCCCCGGGACCAGACCCGGAGAACCCGGAGAACCCGGAGAACCCGGAGAAGCCGGAGAAGCCGGAGAAGCCGGAGAACCCGGAGAACCCGGAGAACCCGGAGAACCCGGAGAACCCGGAGAAGCCGGAGAAGCCGGAGAAGCCGAAGGAGAACCCAGAAGCCAAAGATAAAGCACAGAGCCCAGTGGAGGAGGTCTCTGCTGTGGAGGTTAGTTATCTGTCACCAGTGTTAGGAAATGATTTTCATTTTAAATTCCCAAAACATGACCTAACTGTTTCAGAAACAAGGTAAATATGATCATATTAATTATAACTTTTACTGGTACCAGTTGCAATGCTGTTTTATTCAACATTACAAGAACATTGGACATGATGCACAGTTGTTTGTTTATAATTGTTTTGGTTCTCAAGATGATTATACAGTCAGAAAACAGAATGAGCCTCACATGAGTCTTTCATTTGGGTTTCCAGTTCCAATGCTTAAATCCAGTGGGATTAAATCTAACCATATACTGAAAATGAGGAAAAACTTATATGTCTTGTATCTGCTGGTTAAGGCTCTGGTAAGTCAGGCTCAGTAGAGATTGTAGAAACTTTTTTTTTTTTTTTTTACTTTTGCAGTCTACAAACAGCTCCTTTAAGGCTTGTGGTGAGCCAGATTCCCTAAGATATCCCAATTTTTTTTTTTCAGGTAAAAAAACAAAAAACAAAAACTGGGATATCCAACTCATAGATGGAGTACATTCTGTTTTTGTTTTGTTCCCAATGAGTATATTGTCAAACCTGTGAACAAATAACAGTTCTGTGTTCTCCATCTAATAAAAAAGCATGTTGGCTGTGTCTGGGCCGTCCACTACAGTTCATGCATGATGGCACTACCAGCCACACTCAACCTCAGTCTGTGCTAACTTGGGGCCCATTCACATACACTATTAAATAAATACTTTATAATATTTGAGGCTGTCAACCAGGTGCTGGCAGCCCTACCATCTTTCAGTGGTTTCAACTTCCTGGACAGAACTAGTGAACACAACAGCACACAACATGTTAGATCCTTGTTTAAACCAGAGTCTTCATTTTCAATCTGCACATTCCCTGTGAACATTTGTACTGACTGTGCTTTCTGCTCACAGCTTTTAAATGTAAAGCAGTTCTCTTTGGCTCTGGGCAAAGTGGACAACTCCTACAACTTCAGTGTGAGTACCTCCTCCCCTCCCTCTCCTCTCTCTCTCCTCGTTTCCTCTCCTTCAGCCTGTCACTGACTGATCTGACTGGTCTAACAGTGACCGTGTGCTCCACAGTTCCACCTGACGGTTGGGACGTTGGCTCAGGGCCTCTACAACCTCAACTTCCACTACTGCCCCAAGATGCTGCCGGGACTGCCCTACTCGCTCAGTGTAAGCAGACTGTCCACATGAGTTATTTTTAGGCAACTTTAGTGCAAACAAGGGCAGTTACATCTTTGTGGTCAAAAACGTGTTAAAATAGTTGTGTGTGTTTTTGTGCTTGTGTGTGCAGGTGGAGGTGACGGAGAAGAACCCAGGGGGGTACCTGTCTGCTGCTGATATCCCACTGTCACGCCTCTACATTGGGATGGCTGGAGTCTTCTTCACCGCAGCCCTGGTGTGGGTCTACACCCTCATGAAGCACAGGTATGTTCTGAGCACAGCAGCGGCTGATGTGGAGCTACTGAGCAGACAGAAGGGGGCACCCTTTAGACAGAGAACAGGGGCAGACAGCTCTGTGGGAAACTAGGGCTGAACTAATTGGGGAAAAAATATAATTGTGATTTTGTGGACAAATTTTGCGATTGTGATTAGATTTGGGATTTATGTTTAAGCAGAATTGACTTTTCAGAGCTATAACTATGGAGTAAGAAAGCTGTCAAAAATATTTGTGCGCTTAAAATAGAAATCCGTGCGTATTTGGGAAATCCGTGCATATTTGGCTGTAGTTGTGCATAAAATAAATATTTGTAAACTCTCAAATGAGTCCAGTCGTACATAAAATATATTGTGTGTATTTTATCCATCAGAATACAAATTGAAAATTACGACGTCATGAATTACAATCACGAAATGAAAATTTACGATTACACTTTCATCAGTACAAATACAAATTCACAGATGGAACTTTACTGTCAAAAATACCTCATCACTTCACAGACATTATTCATCGAGCAGAAGAAACATCGATCAAGATCAAGACTGCGCATGCTCAAGTGTGTACTAGAGGGTAAAAACAGAGTAATAGCACAAGAAGCTACAACAGCGACCAACAAGTGGGTTCATTAAAATCTATTGTAAAAATGTCTTGAATTCAGGAACCGAATGCTGCTGTATAATATTGTGTAGAAACACCTCCTTTGAACGGGAAATTGCACCTATATGTTAGATAACATAGTGGAGCCAGTTGGCTAACATCAGACGTAACGTTATCCCAGGGATAATTTAGATTAAAACATTCACGGCTACAGCCACAGCGAACATCAGTCAGTCTTAACCTTCAGCTGCATTTCTCGCATGAAATGCCATCAAAAGTTCCTCGGGACGCTGAAATGTCCCAGTTTACACCAAACAGTCACAGCCAATGAAATGTTACACATTACAGTTTAATGCAGCTTCCAGCATCAATTAATGTTCGTGTTTACAGGCAACACCTTGGTATGTTTACAGTATTTACCGGTAAGTTTAACGTCACCGTGACGTGGATGGATTTGCTAATTATAACCCATTATAACTCATGAAAAACCCATTGTCTGAAATGCAGCTGAAGTGAAGACTGACTGATGCTCGCTGTGGCTGTAGTCGTGAATGTTTTAATCTAAACATACAGAGAACCTGATATTTGTTAATTAGCCCTGGGATAACGTTACGTCTGATGTTAGCCAACTGGCTCCACTATGTTATCTAACATATAGGTGCAATTTCCCGTTCAAAGGAGGTGTTTCTACACAATATTACACAGCAGCGTTTGGTTCCCAAATTCAATGTGGCAAGACGAGACATTTTTACAATAGATTTTAATGAACCCACTTGTTGGTCGCTGTTGTAGCTTCTTGTGCTATTACTCTGTTTTTACCCTCTAGTACACACTTGAGCATGCGCAGTCTTGATCTTGATCTATGTTTCTTCTGCTCGATGGATAATGTCTGTGAAGTGATGACGTATTTTTGACAGTAAAGTTCCGTCTGTGAATTCGTATTCATTCTGATGAAAGCGTAATCGTAAATTTTCATTTCGTGATTGTAATTCATGACGTCGTAACTTTTCAATTCGTATTCTGATGGATAAAATACACACAATATATTTTATGTACGACTGGACTCATTTAAGAGTTTACAAATATTTATTTTATGCGCAACTACAGACAAATATGCACGGATTTACCATATATGCACGGATTTCTATTTTATGCACACAAATATTTTTGACAGCTTTCTTACTTCATATATAACTCTTCCAGACCTAAGGGCAATATTAGTACATTTGTCCTCGCCTGTTTTTTTTTCTTAATTTTGCTATTAAAACTGACCCTTTTACCCTTAGTGAAGTGTTATGTATCCTTTTTTTCAGTACAACCTGATATTTCACAATCTGCTGCTGTAGTTATGCCATATGGCTGTAATAAAAGCTATAGGACCAGAAATACAAATGAAAAAATAAAAAAATACAGAAAATAAAATTCACCACTGTGGGTCATTTGGTTTTAATCCAAACTGGTTACTGGTTTAACATTTGGCAACCCACTGTGAGGAGCTCATCCTGCTTTCTGATTGGATAAACAATGTGAGAGCCAAAACGTAGTGTCCAATGTTTTTGTGATTCGTGATTCTTTTACCTGTTTATCTCTGAATGCCCATGTGATCAGGACATGTTGTGTAAACCTGTGTGGGCTGACTTCTAATCAGCACTATGTGAGGAAATCCAAAAGGAACTTTGTGACCTACTCTGTCAATAACACTAGCTTCAAATGATGCGTATGCCTTGGTTTAAGAAACATGTGTCATACAAAAATCAACTGTTACGAACTTTTATATTGTTATTCATTTGAGGCTCGAATGCTCAAAAAAAAAAAAAACTGTTTTCACCTACCCCCTATCTCCACCCACATCCATCCATACTTAGTTGTGATTATTTGAAAAATGAAGAGTCCAAGTCATACTTAGTGTTAAAAAAATGTAGGCATTCCTCAAAAACACAAACAAGTCCTCGCATATCCACTAATGTGAAAAAGGCCAGGCTTATCAGTTGTGCGGTTTGGAACAGCAGGTCAAAGGTCCCATATCTATAACTAGGCCATTTAAGTTTAATAGTGCATTTTATTATGAACAAAATGTAAAATGGCGATCTACTTATGTTCATAGGTGTCAAATGTGTTTCCAGTTTCATAATCACTAAACGTCTTAGGCTTCACTACAGCAGTAATGTCTTTTAAAGAACAAATATTGTGCATATTTTTATTCTGTTATTGGCCTTTAAATATGCAGAGTTCCTTTGCTTTGGCTCTTGATGATTTAGAACTTAAATTAAAATAATTGCTAATAATTAAATAAAAAAAATAAAAAAAAGCTCACCATGAGGAACCATGAGGAACCATGAGGAAAACAATGAAACTAGGTCATGAGGAACATGCTCCCATGCTCTTTTTGGTGAGGCTCAGAGGAAAAAGATTAATAAACCAGAATTAAACAAAAATAAATTCAACTGCATGAAAACTAAAAAAAGAGTCTATTTTACATATGTGTTCTTGACTTCATCCATGTGATGATTCTAAGTGTTGATCTGTTTATTCCACAGATACAGTGTGTTTAAGATCCACTGGCTGATGGCAGCTCTGGCCTTCACTAAAGCCACCTCTCTGGTCTTCCACAGCGTAAGTATCTCAAACGCACTCTGTGAGAAGTGTGTAAGCTTTTCAGATGCTTTGTAGACCTTATTGCTGTATACAAGAGAAATCAAGACATTTCCTAAGTTAAAATGTATATTTTTCATTTTAAAGGACCTTTTAAAGGTGCACTGTGTAACTTTTCTGGTGTAGCCTTTCACTAGCTTCTCTCCATGGAGATGTTGCCTAGAATGTTCCACAGTATGGCATAACTTATTTATCTCTACAGAGACAGCAGGTGATGCCTAGGGCCAAGTTACATTTCAGATCTGTGGAGAGGCGAGCCCACTCACTGTAAGAGGTTTTTGAGTCAATGAAAACAACACCATGGAGACAAGCAGAAAATTTACACAGTGCACCTTTAAAGGCCCTGTACCTAATTCTTCCCCATGTATTTAAGGTCAAAATAAGTGTGCATCTAATAATAAAACTTTCTATTGTCCAATCATCATTAAGTGCATGTTAGCTTGCTAGTTGTTGTTAGATTTACCGTTACGGCCAAACTGCTCAGGGAGTTGTTGAAAAGTGTTTATAAAGTCATGTGTTAGGGGATCCTCTGGTCACTCTCTCTGACATGTTTCTGCTGTGTGCCTGTTTCAGATAAACTACCACTTCATCAACACAGAGGGCCACCCCATCGAGGGCTGGGCGGTCATGTACTACATCACTCACCTGTAAGTGTCTCTGCTCTGGGACATTGTGAAGGTTGTCTCCTTCTTTACGTGCTGTGTTTGTTCTTAGGCTGAAGGGGGCGCTGCTGTTCATCACACTGGCTCTGATCGGCACAGGCTGGGCTTTTGTCAAGTACATCCTGTCAGATAAAGAGAAGAAGATCTTCATGATTGTCATCCCTCTGCAGGTAGGTGGCCACAGAACTAACACTTCTCTTTGGTGCCACTGTTGCTGCTGCTGTTGGGCCCCTGGGCAAGACACTATGCTACATGCTCCTGAGGAAGGGGGCGTGTCTATGCTACACGCTCCTGTAGAGTGACCTATAGTACCCTCTCTGTGTCTGTCCCAGGTGCTGGCGAACGTGGCCTACATCATTATTGAGTCAACGGAGGAGGGCTCCAGTGAGTACTCCCTGTGGAAGCAGATCCTGTTCCTGGTGGATCTCATCTGCTGTGGAGCCATCCTCTTCCCCGTCGTCTGGTCAGTCTGCTCCACTCTCTGCTACACTCTCTGCTTCACACTCTGTTCCTCACTCTGCTCCTCACTCTGCCTCTCACACTGCTCCTCACACTGTATTTGTGCCATGTGTGCAGGTCCATCCGTCACTTGCAGGAGGCGTCCAGTACTGACGGCAAAGCTGCAGTCAACCTGGAGAAGCTCAAGCTCTTCAGACACTACTACGTCATGGTAACTGTACAGTGCACTACGTCATGGTAACTGTGTACTACATCATAGTTAGCGATAGACCGATATAGTAGCTGGCCAATTTATTGAGCCGATATTTGTACTTTTGTAGTGTATCAGCTATCAGACTTAAATCTCCAACATGCTGGGTAAAAACTGGATCGTTTGTATTAAAATAAAATGTAATAATTTGAGGAAAATAGTCCAAATCTGCCCTAAATTTCAGCCGAGAAATATCAGCAGAACTTCTCAGTCGTTGTCTGAATTCTAATCGGTATCAGCATTGGCCATAAAAAAACAAACTGTATCAGGTGATCGCCGATCATGATAACGGTGCACTCTGCTGTGATAGCAGCGGTTCTGTAAACTCATGGAGGCTCTAGTGTGTGTTTCCTGTTTAACAACTGCGGTGTGTTGTGTCCACAGATCGTGTGTTACATTTACTTCACGAGGATCATAGCCATTCTCCTGAAGATCACCATGCCGTTCCAGTGGCAGTGGTGCTATGAGGTATGCCAGTGTTTGTGACTCTACTCATGTTTTGAATCCTAAAAACCTTTCCTGGATTCAAAAGAAAAGCTTTAGAGCAGACATGATGCATGTTAACCATGTTACACTGGTGTCTTCTCATCCTTATTTTACTCAGTTAATTTTTGCTTGGTTTTTGCATATTTGAGTAATCCTTTGTTGAAAAAATGAAAAAAATTGTTTTTCAACACCCTTGACCACCAGGGGGTGGTGAAGAAAGCCCTGAATAAACAGTTTGTGTGCAGGGTAAGTCTTTCAGCAGATTCCATCTGACGGTCAGGAGTGAGGAGATGGAGTCATTTGCAACTTTCATTTTCACCTACCCTCTACCCCTGCCCATATGGTTGTACGTGGTTGTGGTTGTTTGAGAAATTAAGACTCTGAGCCATACAAATAGACTTTAAAAAAATCAGTAACCGTTCTTTAAATGTAAAAGCATATCAATGAAAAGCACATGCTCACTACAGTGTGATGTCACTCTGAAGGGGCCTCTTAGCTCTGCACTTTCAACTATTAACAGTCCTAGCTCTATTATCCTATATCTATATATCGATGTATCTATTGTTTGTTTATTTAATTCATTAATTTATTAATTCATTCATTTAGTTAGTTAGCTTTCAGTGGGACAGTGTACCTGTGTAAATGTACCCGAATTAGCCAAAAGGCTAATTTTCATCAGCAGTCCTGCCAGATGGTGATAGGCTCCCTAAAAGTTCATGTAAATTCATGTAAAAGTCATTTATTTAAAATACAAATACTACTAACATTCAAATACACACAGTTATATATTTACATGGTCAATAAAAAAACAAAAATCCATGTATATAAACTTTTAGTGCTCACATTTTTGTGATTCAGTTCAGCCATTAAAGTTTTGCCATTAACAGAATATAAAACAGTGATTGACTTTTGTTGTAGGAGAAGTACAAGGAACAAAACATAAAATGGGGAACTTTTGGTGGCTTTATTCTGTGAAGTCCGCAACTGTCGTCCACTGCTGACAAAGTAAAATAAGCAGCTTCAGAACATGATGGAAGCAGCAAAATGCTGTGTAGTGAATCCATTAGATGACTAAAAACAGTCTGGACTATAAACCAGATTTGAAAGTCCTGACCTGAGGTGTTAGCACCTCATGGGAACATGTGAAGGCAGGGCAAAGGTGCACCAAGCTGAGTAGCCCTGTGTGACTCTGGAGCCTGATAAGAGCATGTCTCCTGTGTGTTCTGACCCTGTGCTGGACTCTCCTCTGTGCAGTTCCTGGTGGAGGTGTCCACTCTGATCTTCTTTGTACTGACCGGGTACAACTTCAGACCGGCATCCAACAACCCGTACCTCCAGCTACCCCAGGACGAGGAGGACGAGGAGATGGACCAAATGTAATCACACTCACCACTGCTTATTACTCAAATTAATATTGCTCTACGCCAATACACTGTTTGTGTATATCAATTATTCTAGTATCATGAGCTGTGACATCAATAATTAACTTAGCATCTATTCTCTTCTCCAGGCTGCTGCTCAGTCTGACCTTTAAAGCTTTCTCCCATGTTCTAACATTGTTCCATTTTCAAAAATTTGACACAAAGGGTTTTATGTCATCCACAAGTTTGAATAATCGAGTGATCTCTTCCCTTTTATAGTTACGTATATACAGTTACTTCCTGTACATTGCTTCGCGAAACAGTAAAACTGATGCAATGTGCAGTAGTTTGATAAGCAGGATATGCTGATTGTGTTGTGATAGTGCTCTGAAGGGGGAGCATTTTCAAAGCATGTTATGTGGAATACTCCATACCCAAAAGACTAGATCCATTGTCTTTACAAGTAAACCACGACTATTAACACAACACATGCTTGTCTTTAATATTTTCTTTAACATAAACTTTTATTCTGATATGATCATAAACGATACATTTTGTACCTTCTTTATCATTATTATTGGTTTATTTTGTACAATCATAAACGATAAAATTTGGTATCTTTGTTAACATTATTATCAGAATCAAAATTTATTTGTCATTTCAGTATAAAAAATACACAGAAACGAAACAATGCACTCAGGTCCAGGTCAACAGCATATAGATAGATAGATAGATAGATAGATAATAATAAGAATAAATTGTTAAAAATATTGTATGTCAAGTACAGTCTTTACAAAAAAACACAGCCCCCACCTGCCCCTGTTTTCTAAAGTGTGTTCCAAGTCTATGCTGTTTTGTAAGGTGCATTAGTGTCTGGGCTTTCTGACAGAATTAATCTGTCTTACGGCATCAGGATAAAAACTGTTCCGTAGTCTGGTGGTCCTGGCCTGTAGATGGCGCAATCTTCTGCCTGATGGGAGGGCTGTAAAAAGTCCATGTTCTGGATGGTGGAGTCTTCCATGATGCTGTGGCTTTTGTCCTGCACCTGCTGATGTAAATATCTTCAATGCAGGGCAGACTACAGGGCAGGGTTAGTTTGTATGACCAGAAACGGAAAAAAACACAAAACAAAACAAAACTGGCATCTTTAAAAAATGAAAATAAGAACTAATAAAAAAAGTGATTGTATTTGTGTTCGAGGTGTGAGTAGGTGGAACAACCAGAGTGATGATTTAAAAAAGTCTAACACTGTAGAAGCCTTTAAAAAACAGAATAAAATCTTATGTTTTGAAAGATCTAGAGCTCTAGAATGAATGAATTATGTATTACATTTGGTTTGTTTTCATTAATATTTTGTCTTTTATATATACAGTAAGTTGTAAGTGAAATTGTAAACTCAAACTTGCTGTTCAGATGCTGCTTTTCTTTCTTGGGATTCTGTCATTATTTAACTTCAGCCTAAACCCTTTCAGTCATGATCCATGAGGTTGTAGTCTATGTTTTGTTTTGTCTGCAAAATGACAGAATAAACTATTACTACTACTGCCATAGAATAGTCTCTTTAAGCACACTTGTCACAACAGGTGTATCTAATAAATCAGTGTTTCCCAAACTTTTTTTCTGGGGACCCATATTTTAAAAGTCACAAACCTCCGTGACCCAAGTCAATAGACATTATTCATAAATCATAAAATAAAGGTGGATCTGACTGAATGATCGTGTCTCTGAACACTTAGTATTACTCAAGTTTGAAACAATAAAGATTCAAGTCAAGTCATTGAAGCAGCAATAAAATGATCTATAAGTCATCTATTTGGACATTAAATGTAGCCCATTTCTTTTTCTTTTCAGCATTCATTTGAACCAGAAATATTGGAACAAAATAGTCAATAAAATAATACAAAAAGATTAGAAATTATACAAAACATGTCTTAGCATTTCTAAAGAGATAGGTGCGCGACACTCTTATCAGATGCAGCATTCAGTTTGTTTCTGTGCTTTGTCTTTATTTTTGAGCACAGAAAATCCCAATCCACACATTTGTAGTGAAAGGAATAAGCAGAGAAATACTGTCCCTACTGAGGACGGGACATTCTGACCAGATCATCCAGAATGATGATAATGTCACAGAGCAGAACTCTATATCACAGACCTACATGCAGATCATGACAAGGCACCCCAAAAAAAAATCTCTTGTGACCCACCTGAATGTGTACCGTATTCTCCGCACTATTAGTCACTCTGGATTATAAGACACACTGTCATTAAATGGTCTATTTTCAAACTGTTTTCACAAATAAACCACTCTGGCCTTTAAAGGAAACCCAACAGTGTGATGGGTGGGTGGTTTTGTTTGTTTGTTCGTTCACGGTGACTCTGGGCTTTGTTCAGTTGTGGCGTGTAGGGAGGGTCCTGTCTGGGACCAACGGATTGTCGGCGTGTTTGCAGTGACTCAGTTGTTCAGTTGTGTCTAGAAGTGGCACATTGCGCTTGCTTTTTCAGTTCGTTCCTCCGTTCTGTTCCTCGTCGTTGTGGAGTGATGAGTGTGTCTGTGGGTGTTTTTCGCTGCACTGTTGCTGTCTGCTCCGTGTATGTTTGTGTGTTCTGCGGGTGGTGCAGCTTTGTAGTTTACTGAAGTCGTGCTGGGACACCCGAGTGGATTCGTGTATAGGGCGCTCTGGATTGTGGGGCGCGCGGTCGTTTTTTGATGCGGTTAAAGCCTTAAGAGCGCGTCTAATAGCCTGGAAAATACGGTAATAAATGTAATAAAGTGTCTGGTGAATGTGCGCCCTCTAGCTGACACCCCCCTCTCCCCCTCCCTGTGTGCAGAGTCACCGAGTCCGGAGCACTAGAGGGCATCTCCCACGTCAAGAAGACCTCCAACGGACGCGACCGCCAGAGGGAGTCCACGCTATGAGCCACGGGCCAGAAGCGGGACCCCTGACCCGGGGGAGGAGAGGTCCGGACGCCGCCCCCCCTCCCCTCTGAGACTCTGGTGCAGTGGTGATGTGTCCACTGTCTGACTATGCAACACACTCCAGCGGGCTCCCCAGTGCTACGCGTGGATGGACAATAGAGACATGACTGCCGCCATCTCCAATCTTTTCTTCATCCCTCTCTTTCGCTCTCTCGCTCTCTCCAAAGATGACTACACTGCAAAAAAAGTTTCAATTCAGAATATTTCTCTTGTTTTGAGTAGTTACAATTGTTTCTATGGTGATTGCTTAATACAACTATTGATACTTTTAAGTGACGTCAGGCTGGGGGTGTTCTACATGTGTATCTATTGGCGGAATGTTCAGCAGTTACCATGGTGACACATTGCACACATTTGCAAACACAGAAAAAAGAAAAAAATGAACCCACGATCAATACGGAGGCGTTCATGATCTTTTTTAGGTGTTTCATTCTCAATGAAAAGGTGAGAGTAGTTCCAAGCAGGTCAGCTCTTTCTGGGCAGAGCTTCGAACAGAGTAGTGCTTTCAGTTAGCTTCAAATTCCGAGAGAATGCTGATGAGTTCAGCTGCAATGTATGAATACGGTCACACACACACACGCGCGCCTGCTACTGGCCTTCCAAAAGAACTATAAAGCAACATGGAACATTACAATTTAGAGGTACAGTATGTAACTTTTCTGATGGAACTTTCCTTGTGCTTGTCTCCATGGACATGTTGCTTTTGCCTGAAATGTTCCATGGCGTGGCATTTAACCTCTCCATCTTGCATTTACTGTGAGCTGGATCAGCTTTAGACAAGAGGCGCTGTACATTATTTTTACTGCCTTAAAAATCGTGAAAAATTGAACTTGTTCATTTGAAACAGTTTGCAGTGGTCCAAAGTTATTCCTCACTTCCCTTATGCATTCAGAACATCCTCATTTTCCACCGCAGCGACTGTTTAAACGCTTTTCACAACCTTCAGAGACCAGTGTGGCATTATGCTGTAACTCTAATGGTAACAACTAGCATGCTAACCACGGCTACTGGCCTTTTAATGCCTTATATCTCCATGGATACGAGATGGTGGCTGACCCTCCAACAGAAAAGTAACATAAGTTTTACTTTTGTTACATAAGACTTACTCAAACCCAGATGGATGCTGTGAATGGACGTGGCCTGAGCTCAACTACATGACGTCTGGGGGTGTGGTCTTTGCGTCTGGGGGCGTGGTCTTTGCGGTACTCCTCCTGAGCTCTGTGTTTGTGAGTTTTCATGACGGACTTTTTCTGCTCAGGTTGACTCTTTCTAAGTGGACGTGTAGTTAGTGCACAGTGTGAACCTTATGGCCTATACAACATACAACATATGTTTCTTTACACTTAATCAGGGCTGCACATACCATATGTGGAGATGGCTCATGTTTCATTCAATATACAATACATTTTTGGACAAATAAGCGCGAGTAAGTTATTGTAATGTAAATTCCTTTATTTGAAACTTGTGAAAATTGAAACCTAGGTGGTGGGCGATAAGTATATTGTTTACTAAATGATTTACATAGTTTTTGTTAATGACAAAGCAAAATTATAATATTGAGTGTATTGTGTTGTAATAAGAAAAAAAAAAAAGTTGATGAGTTAGAAAAATCCAATATTTCTGCACTGTTGTGTTAATTTTATAATCCATTCACTTCACCTCAACCGAGACATTTACAGGCACGTTTATCACATTTGAATTCTTTACATTATTATTTTTACAATCTCGCTTTTTTGTCAGTACCACTTCTACCAGACAAACAGACTAAACCAGGAACAAAACAAAACTTCATTGGAGCGACATTGGACTGGAAAAGTGTTTCTTTTAAAGAGGGGGGGTTATGCAAAATCAGCCTTTTGTGCGTTTCTCCCTCATCAAAAACATGCAAAAACATTTTAGATGTCATCCATGTATGTCTGAGTAATTTAGTGATCTCTTCCAGGCCCTATTCGGACCCTCTTTACAGTTACCGGTACTGGCCTGTACAAAGCTCCACCCACAAGTCACCCATTCTCCTGCACGGACATTATTTTTTATAAATGTACAAAATCATGATACAAAACAATACACTATACAACCTCACACACCTGATGCAGTAAAAGGTCATGTGATGTTAGCAGTTACACCCCATAGAAGTTTAATATTCCCTTTTGAAATATTTGAATTTCCAACAGTTTTAGGCTCTGTTTGGAAATACTGGTCTAAATCCTAAAATAACTCTTAATCTGTAGTTTTGGTGATAAGTTGGTTGTACTGGCTGAAACGGCACTAACCATAACTCTGCAGGATCTTGTGCACCCTATGTTTGAATTCTACTTTTCTGTTTGGATTCAATATTAAACCTATGGCTGTTCTTTCCATCTTTCTGTATCATTTCACCTTAAGCGCGTTCACTGTCGTTCTTTTTCTGTCGTTCTGTTTGGACTCTTGTCGTTACAGCACACGTTGGAACGCTTCGTAGTTATTCTAACTTTCTCAAATCACAGAATCACATCATCATACATCCAGCACAGGTGAAGTGTATTGCTCGAGAAGCGGGATTTACTCCGTAAATCTGATTATTATGGTTGGGTTTTAGAAGTCTACGAACATTCTCTTAAGAGCTGCTTTTAGGTTATTTGTTCATATTTTAGTCTTCTCTCACTGCTTATTCTTCTGTGTGTTAATAAAATGTATTATAATCCAATTTTTATTTTATTTTATTTTTCAAATTTGAGTTTCAGTCAGACTTGATCAGAGTAGTAGAATAGTCACACATCACAGCAGTGCTTCACAACTTAACACCAACCAGCTCAGAAAATCTTTGACTTTCTATGTTTTGCTTCACCTGAAATGTTCCGTAGTATGGCATTAAACAGTTGAAGACATCAAGCTCCGCCCCTGCAGACAAGTGTTTGTATCAGAAACATGTGTCTGTAATCAGGGCAGTGCTGTGTGATGTCACCTAGTACTTGAAATGCTGTTGCCACTGAAGGCAGTACAAAGTTAGAGGTGTTGTTGATCCAAATGCTGCAAATGGACCTAGGTTTCACTAAAATTGTAAAAAAAAAAAAAAAAAAAAACTGAAAAAAAAACAGGAACAGTAGATAATGCTGTTCAAACATCATATACACAGTATGGTAAAAAGGTGGATTTAGTGTTTAGTTGCACTTTAATGCCATACTATGGAATGTTCTATGCAAAGCAATGACATTCCAGGACAACAAGCAGCTGGCAGCCCTTCTCACCAGAAAAATTCCATAGTGCATCTTTTTAATTGATTTAAATTTGTCACTACAAGAAGCCTGTGGACCTGTTAAAATATTTTTTTTATGGCAAATTTCTGTTTTTTGCCTCTGTAGTGTTTGGTTTGCAGTATTTTATTTATTTATTTATTTATTTTTCTTTTCCTGTGCTGCACTGTCCCACAGCTATGGCAGATTATTTGTCTCAGATTTTGAAACTGAAATGCTGCATTAAATTGCAGATTTTTTTTTTTTTTAGTATACATTTTCAATGAGTTTTAAAAATCCAAAACATAAAACATCACATTTTGAATACATAGCACAAATATTTTCAAGCCCTCAAATTCAACAGTAAATTCAGTGTAAAATTTGCAGTGAAAAACTTTGCACCAAAGATGTTGAGGTATAAAGCGATAGGCTCTATTCACGTTATGTCACAAACCAGGAAGACGTTTGGAAACATGCGATTACAACTTCCTTTGGGCTGTTCGCAGAAGTAAGTCTGATAAAATCTAGAAAAAATTAGAAAATGTTCCAGTTTTCTTCATCTCCATGTCATTGTAGTGTTGTTATATTCGACTAATCAACAATTCTGACCATCCCTCAGTTTTCATCATTTCCCACTGACACACAACTCTGAGTGCACTGGTACATGTGATTAGAAGAGATGAGGGACAAATTTCAGATGATTCAAACAGCACATACGTCTACAGTCTTCATTTTACCCCTGATCACATTTACTTTGATCACAGTCGGTCGATGAGTCCAGTGTCGAGAACTACACCAGAAGTTGTCATCACATGTTTACAAATGTCTTCCTGGTTTGTGATGTAATGGTTACACCCTTATCATCAGAAGACCCACTAGTCAGAAAATCATTCCCTCTTCTATTGGTTTGTCAGCAACATTTCTCTTGAACAATTGAATGTATATTTGATGAAAGCAACAGGGAATAATCCCTGGATATCAGGGAAGAATTAGTAAACTTTTGGCTGCAACATCAACATTTTTAGAAATATTGACAGGAAAACACATAATCATGCATAACAGCATTAGCTAAGGCCAGTATTACTTAATTTGTTGGTTTACAAACCCACCAATTCTATATTAAAAGAAAAAGATTTAAAATAAAATTGAAATGAAGGTTGTAGAGCTCGAATTACTGAACATTTTGCAAGCTGTTGCCTGAAAATCAGACAATTATTAACCTTGTTACACTTAAGACAGACATTTTCACCCAAATCATTATTTCCTCAAATGTTTTTGCTGTATTTTAAGGGTTTAATATATTTATTACTTTTAATATTTAAAACTTGAAATACAATTTCATTTGTAACAATTTGTAACACTACCTGAACATGGATTTTCTGACTAGAGGCTCTTCTGATGATAAGACTGACCCCGACGTAACATGGATAGACCCTGTAAGCAGTCGCTCGTGTGTGTGTGAGGACAGAGGCTCTTCTTTTCTGGATTAGGCCAATTCTGACCAATCAGATCAGCTCCCTGCAGCACATCCTGGTGGTTACTTAAATTCAGTCGACACACTTTGGTTGATTGCTTATGAAAATATTTGTGCTCAATATTTAAAAGGTGATTTTTGTATTTGGAGTTTTTAAACACATTGAAACATCCTGGTATGATGAAATGTATTTATTTATTTATTTTAGCTTTCTACCAAAAACATGCCTGAAGAGGTTTTAGATTGAGATTAGATGTCATCCATGCATATTTGAATAATCTAGAGATCTCTCCTGGGCCCTGGTCAGCAGTACGAGCCTACATCACCCATAAATACACAAAAACACGATAGAAAACTGTGCACAGTGAATGATGCCATGACAGTTCACCAACTGCAATCCACAATAGAAATAATTCAAACACATTTTTGTCAGAGTTCTACAAAACAAAGAGAAAAATTCCGCAGCATTTAAAATCCAAAATGTGACGACATAAACGACCGCTTTACGTTCCTCTTCCTCTTGTTTTGCTTTCGATGTGATGAAGATGATGATACAGCTTCTTTTATGAACAGTGTGGGGCCTCCTCCTCACCTGCGCGTTAGAGCAGGTCACAGATGTGTAAATAATCTCATACTGGACACACAGACACATGGACACACAGACAGGCGTTCAGTCCTGGGACAGGGGGCAGGAGACAGGGACTCCTCTGGGATGGGTTCGGACTGGGACCTGTGTGTGGATGAGAATAAAAATGCTGTTTTGGAAATGTCTGTGTTCTCATTTGTCTCGTTGACTTTGCTCTGGTTTCAGCCAAATCAAAATCACAATTTCAGTAATAACAAAGAGCAGTTATTTAAAGGCCAAACCTGACTCCAGTGAGCTTTGAGTCATTTACATGCACAGTTCGGACTTGTTTAAAGAGCCCATATTCGAATGTTGTTTCCTCGTCATGGACACACTTGGAGTTGTGTTTTGTTTCACTCACACGTGTTTGAGTAACTCTTTATTATTAATCTGTTTACATCTCTTGTGGAAATTATCTACAAAATAATAGCAAAACATACAAGAAGACTGTCTAAATTCAAATTCACAAACTTCCATATGAACATATGAAAAACTGAAATGATGTTCTCACTCTCAATCTTCTAAATTAAATAATAAAATAAAAGGAAAGGAAAAGTCCAAAGTTCTTCTTTAGGGAGACAGATTCCTTCTTCCTGGTTGCCTGATGGTTATAGATGGGAGAGAGTTCAGCATCCTAACAGCCTGGAGGATGAAGCTGTGATGTGAGTCTGATGGTGCGAGAACAGAGGCTCCTGTACCTCCTCCAGGACGGCCGGCTCAGCAAAATATGTGCGGGATGATCTGCATCACTCACAATTGTGATGGCTTTGTGGGTGAGGTGGGTGGTGTATATGTGGTGAGGTGGGTGGTGTATATGTGGTGAGGTGGGTGGTGTATATGTGGTGAGGTGTATGTGCAGTTGAGGCGGGTGGATGCTCTCAGTGGTTCCTCTGTAGAACGTGCTCCTGATGGTGGTGAAGCTTGAGGTTCCACAGTAAGTCGAGGAGCTGCTGGGTTTTCCTCACAGTGCTGCAGTGTTGGTCCAGGCGAGCTCCTCACTGGAGTTTAGTGCTGCTCACGCTCCACAGCAGCACCGGCGATGGTCAGTGGTGGGTTTTGGGTGTGGCCTCTTTGGAAGTCAGCAACAATCTTCTTAGTCTTAGACACTTAGACACTAAGCTGGAGGTTGTTGTCTCTGCACCGTGTGGTCAGAAGGTCTTTCCTGTAGTGAGTCTCGTTGCCCTTGGTGATGAGACCAACCAGAGTTGTGTCACCCGAACTTTTATGTAAGTAGGTCTATGTTGCACCGGTATCAAACAGTCTCACTACTGAAGGACAAAGTTTCTGCTGCGTTGAGCCCACAGCAGTGAGACAAGACTTAAATAGTGTGTGCGGCCCAAGCCCTCCCCAAGAACAGTTTGCATTTAGGTCAGTCTGGACATTTTGCTTTGTGTAAATGAAATGTACTAGCACCTTTCCAAGAGCATGTGAGTCCAGGTCAGGATGATCAAACACTTGGGTAATAAAGAGCAGACATGTACATGACAAACCCAAAGGTAACAGCAACCTTCCTGTGAGAGAAAGAACAGTGCTTCTTTAACACTTCTTACAGAGTATCTTGGAATAACACCCAACACTCGAATTTCCACCACAATCTCCAAAGCTCAAAATTCTCCATCCAAATGATTCTAGTGAAAATGTATGGAGTTTAAAAACACAGTGGAGCACTTCCTGTATTACCACATGACATCACAAGGTGGACCAGAGTGTTTTCTGTTTGTGAGAATAACTTCGCGTAAATGTGCAGGGTTTGTGTGTTAATCATGTGTGAATGAAACGACACACACCTCCAGTTGTGTTTGTGATCAGGAAACTAGAACATAGATCAGAAAACAGCGTCTCACGTGCGCGTCCAACTCGTCCAAACTGCGCATGGAAACGACAGGCTTTAAATATATATACATATAAAATATATATATTCATACATATACTGTTTGAATGAGTGTCATACTAATGAGTTGTGTGTAGTCTGGTGGTTGGGTGCACTGCCTCTCCCCCGGCCCCCCTCCCTCCCTCCCTCCCCCCGGCCCCTCCCCTCCGCGCGCCGCTCCCCTTCCCATGCACCGCTCCTCACTGCAGCATCACACTGCGGTCTCCAGCCTCTCCATCCGGCCCCTGCACTCCAGCCAGGCGCACGGGACACGCGAACATGTGAGTATGCCCTGCTTCTCCAGAACACCGACACACTCGCTTTAATAGCACACAGTGTAGGAGCTGTTGGACGCTGTTTGCGCCGCTCATGCGTCACGCAGCATCCAGGCGCAGAAAAAAAAAAAAGGAAAAAAGTTAGAAGAATGAACTTGACGCACCAAACCCGAAAACGAGTCGTGACCCTCTCAGGCGGTTGTGCTCACAGCGGGGGAGCGGGCACGGGGGAGCGGGCTTGGGGGTGACCTTAGCGCCGCTGCAGTGCCCGCTGCCGTCCGCTGCGCAGCCCGGAGGAGGAGGTGGAGGTGATGCAGCACTTTTGGGTTCGCCCTAATGGGATCCAGGACGTGTCCGGTTTCTCCGCAGCCGCAGCAGCAGCAGCGCCGGTCGCCTCTGCGCCATCCACGGGCACGCACGGGCGCGCACGTGTAGGCTGGAGGGCACAGACTGACCGCGTGTCCTCCTGTAGCCTACAAGTTTGCCATTATGTTGGAGCAAGTGAAATTTATACAAACCAGTGAGTGTTGTGCGCGTTACAGCTGAACTTTTAACTGCGCTGTTTGGTGCTTGGAGCGTAAATCTTCATTGCGACGCAGATTTCAAATGTTTTCAGATCTTAAAAGAAAGAAAACACGTTACACATTAGAGATGAGAACATAAACCATGAGCATTCTTCGATGGCCTCTTAAAGTGTGACTTTTGTTGACAGTAGAATGTGATGTGTCAAACTGGTTTCATCAAAAAACAGGTGAGAGTGACGTGAGCCTCTGAGGGTCCAAACTATGGCCCAGGGCCCAACTGCGGCCCTCTGACAGTTTTTTCTGGCCCTCAAACCCTCCTGCTGAAGTGTCCAGAGACGAGCTTTATACTAACATTCTCAAATTCTCTGTTATTGTTTCCTTGGAGTTTCAGATCTTTTTGAATGATTCACAGTTTTACACTAATGTTGGTCTTATACTTCCCCTGGTCACTATAGTTCTACCATTTTTATTATTTAGATTATGTGATACTATACCATGCATTATTCATTCTCTCCACTCTCGGTTGTGAAGCTGCAAATCTGCACCACAGCCCCTTCGACCACCACCAACACACACCACATCATACTAAGTCATGTGGGTAAGGTGTCTTGCCTAAGGACACAAGGACACTAGTATCTCATCCACACTGAATCAAAAGAACCTGTAAGATTTACTAGAAAAAAATCCTCAGAACAATTTTCACTTGCACTTTCAAAATTACTGCTGTAACATCAGGTACAATTTACTTGTCAGTGTCAAGTGAAATGTTCTTCCCTCCACCAGGAACAGACAAGAATTTACTGAGTAATTGTTACTCAATGTTTTAATGTCAGTTATGTAAATAAATTAAGTAAAACATAAAATACTGTCAGAATTCATTGTATTGCAAAGCGATTTACAACAAGGAACCACAAACCCACACGCACACACACACACACACACACGAGTGTACACAGACACTAGGGGTGAGGTGGGTTAAGTGTCTTGCCCAAGGACACAACAACAGCATTCATCTGTTTTATTTTATTTTATTTTTTAAATGTGGAGATGAGTGACAAACGCTCAAGCAACTGAGCTACTGTAGCTCCAGCCCCAAACCCGTAGCCGCCGAGTGCAGAGAAGACGGACTAGACTAGACTAGAAGGACTTTGGTATGACTAAGTATTTGTGAGTTTGTGAGGAGCGACTGTAAAACCTTTAAACGTGTCGGTGATTGTACAGTAGAAGTGACTCATTATGGACAAAATGTGTTTATTTGACTTCTGTAGTGGAATACAAGAGTCAAATAAACACATTTTGTCCGTTGCTGTTAAATAAGTTGTAGTTCTCACAGAATGATGCTAGACAGCCCCGAGTGCGTGACCTTCAGCTCTGTGATCTGAGCTGACAATGCTGTGCGAACAGTTCACTGTCTCTGTCCCTCTTTGTCCCTCTGTCCCTCTGTGTCTTTCCTCCTGTCTCTCATCCTCTGTTCTTCTCCTGTGTGGGTGCAGGGCGGTGACTTGGGTGCTGTCCTTGTTGTTGGTGCTGGTGGTGTCTGCAGGAGGAAGTGTGGGGTGAGTTACTGCTTCGTCATTCTTACATATGTAATACCATCTGTCCCTGTCCTCTGTCCCCCTGTCCTCCTCTCAGTCTATTTGTTAGTCCCTCTCTCTGTCCATCTGCCCCTACGTCTCTCACGTGTGTCTCTGTCCCTCCAAACCTCCTTTTCAGTCCCCGTCTCAGTAGTGCAGGTGTCTTGGAAAAATACGTCCCTCTCTGTCTGTGCCTCTCCCTGTCCTCCTGTCTGTCTCCTGCTGTGTCCTGGTGTAAATATGTCCCTATCCCCTGTTCCTCTGTCCTTGACTCTTTTTGTCCCTCTCCCTGTCCCCCTGTCTGTCCCTGTCCCCCCGTGTGTCCTGGTGTAAATCTGTCCCTGTGTCCTCAGGCCCAGCTCCAACAGCAGTCTGTGCTCCGAGTCTCGAGAGTGTCTCCAGTATGAACTGCTGTGTCAGACCGACGAGTACGAGGTCAGGACTGAACCAGGACTAAACCAGGACTGAACCAGGACTAAACCAGGACTGAACCAGGACTGAACCAGGACTAAACCAGGACTGAACCAGGACTGAACCAGGACTGAACCAGGACTGAACCAGGACTAAACCAGGACTGAACCAGGACTGAACCAGGACTAAACCAGGACTGAACCAGGACTGAACCAGGACTGAACCAGGACTAAACCAGGACTGAACCAGGACTGAACCAGGACTGAACCAGGACTGAATCAGGACCGAACCAGGACCGGACCAGGACTGGACCGAACCAGGACTAAACCAGGACCAATTCAGGACTGAACCAGGACTGAACCAGGACTGAACCAGGACTGAACCAGGACTGAACCAGGACTGAAGTGAACTTCTAAAGACCACATGTTTGCCTGGATGCCCTGGTGTCACTCTGCTCTGTCCTCAGGTGAGACACTACAGTCCCACGCTGTGGGTGTCCACAGACGCAGAGGCTTACTTCATGGGCGTGGGAGCAGCCATGGCCTTCAGGAGGCTCTTCCAGTACATCACCGGAGCCAACGAAGGAGGTGAGCTGCCCCACTGTGTCTGATGTGTACACAGATGTTATGTGGTACAAGTACTTCACATTCATATTATTCACAAAAAGTACTAAGTAGTGCTCTTACTTTCATCAAGTAAGAGAAAAAACTGAGGAACCTAACAGAAATGTTTATGGAATATTGTTCGCCACCTGCTTGTGTCCATGGAGATGTTTTTGTTTTTCCTGGAATGTTCCAGAAGTGGCTTTAAAACTTCCATCTGTAATTAGACCGTCCATCTCGTCACTGTTCTGTTCTCACATATCACCACTAGATCCTGTGTGTGTTACTGCAGTCTGATGTTCTTCACAGAAGAAGAGCAGAGAGCACAGGGGAGGGAGGTGGAGCGATCAAATCCAATGACTTTAAACTTATCCATTTCAACAGAGACAAGCATGTGATGGCACCAGACCATCACATCTACAGAGTTACATGTCAGATCTTTGGAGTGGCGAGTACACTTAGTAAGAATGCAGATTTATCAAGGTATTTAGTTTTAAATGACACCTGTATTTAAGTAAATGGTTCACAGGTTTAATGCCATATTATGCAACATAAGCAGTAACATCTACATGGAGGTACTAGAGGTACTAGAAGGTGGCATACCACCCACCTGAAAAGTCACCGGGCATGTCCCACCAGGAGGAGGCCCCGGGGAAGACCCAGGACACGCTGGAGGGACTATGTCTCTCAGCTGGCCTGGGAACACCTCGGGGTCCCCCCGGAGGAGCTGGAGGACGTGTCTGGGGTGAAGGAAGTCTGGGAGTCCCTGCTTAGGCTGCTGCCCCCGCGACCCGGCCCCGGATAAGCGGACGAAAATGGATGGATGGATGGACAGTCATGTTGAAGAATAGATCCCAAAAAAGGAGACAAATGAACAAATATCTGTCATATGTGAAGGAGCGCTGCAAGAAACACCAACGTTCAGATCATTTCATATTGTCAACAGAAAACTATTTGTCTTCTTTTATACAAGTGAAAGTAATGTTACTTTTACTCCTACTAGTCCTATACTGTGTATTAGGGTGGTCCAGAAAAACATGTAAAAAAATAAAAGTTTTAAATTTCTCAATTTGAACCCAGCAAACATTGGCCATAAATACAAAAGCAACAGGGTTAAAATTTCAGTGAAATCCAACATGATTTAGAGGTTGCACAAGCCTTTTTAAGTTTCAAGAATTCTCTCTCAAATAACAAAAGTGTGTCTGTTTGTCACACTGCTTTGTGTCTGATGAGCTGGCAGGATTACATACTCTACATTTTGCCACTTTTCATTAAATAATCCATTATATTCTTTCAATAAGCAATAATCTCTGCAACAGTCATACCAATTTAGCAGAGACAGAATAGTTGTCATATGAGATCAACACACAATCAGTTTACAGTCATGTATACTGTACAGCATGACTGCTGAAGACAAACTTTAGAAAAAGGCTATGAGGAAAGATTTGTCAGCTTAACATTGCTGATAGTGTTGGTAAGTAAATTTCTGTTTTCTATATACAAAACCTATGCAATAGTTTGTCAAATTTAATATGAACAGTGCTAATATTAATTAAACACTGACTGATTTTTTTAAAGTTTGTACTAAATTTTGTGGATTCATGCAAGAAAGAGAGGGATCACCCCACGTTCCCCACCGTCTTGATGCAAATGGAAGCTATGAACAGAAGACCCTCAGCAATTTTGTGACAAAGAATACAAATTCATTCTTTACTATTCTGCAAATGCCACCTGAAATATGGAAGGAAAATGAGGAGTTCACTTATGCAGAGAAGGTAGTCCGATCCCTGAAAGTTGTGAACGACACAGCAGAACGGGGAGTGAAGTTGATCCAGGACTTCAATACTATATTAACCAAATCAGAAGAACAGAAACAATTCCTACTACAGCTGGTTCAAAATCACAGAAAAAGCTACCCTGACTCAAAGAAAGACACAGTTGTCAAAGGTCTTGCCACTTCTTCAAGTGAGCAGGCAGTTTGAACTGACTTGGTTATCAGGTTAGTCATTTTCATCAAATGATATTTTTTTATATAAGTTTCATTATATTATGTTACAACATGTGCTTTATGCATATATATTATATAAATATATATATTAAACCTATAGCATACAAGGAATAAATACTTTGAAAACTGCTGATTTATACTATTTGGCTAATAAAGAGAGATAAAAAGGTCTATGGTGTTGTGCAACCTCTAAATGTCATTTAATGTAGCTCAATTTTTATATGTTAACTTTAACTGGTAGTAGGCCAAAATGCATGGTTCAAATTAGAAGAAAAAAGAAAAAAGTTTTTTTAGGTCACCCTACTGTGTATTTTAAGGTTTTGGATCTGAACTCAAGTCACAGAAGTAAAAGTAAAATGTACTGACTGGAGTGGATATAACTGAGTACTAGTACTGTGTGTCATGTGACTGTGCGGCAGGTTACCAGATGGACATGACCGCTCCTGTCCTGGTCAAGATCCCAGAGGAGACCAGGATGTGGGAGCCAGCCATCTACACTCTGAGCTTCCCTCTGCCCCAGGCCTACCAGGAGCAGCCCCCCCAGCCCACCAACGACAAGGTACCCCCCCAGCTCACCAATGACAAAGTACCCCACAGCCCACCAACCCCAACGTACCCCCCAACCCACCAACCCCAACGTACCCCCAACCCACCAACCCCAACGTACCCCCCAACCCACCAACCCAACGTACCCCCCAACCCACCAACCCAGTACCCCCCAACCCACCAACCCCAACGTACCCCCCAACCCACCAACCCCAACGTACCCCCCAGCCACAACCCCAACGTACCCCCCAGCCCACCAACGACAAGGTACCCCCCAGCCCACCAACCCCAACGTACCCCCCAGCCCACCAACCCCAACATACCCCCAACCCACCAACCCCAACGTACCCCCAGCCCACCAACCCAACGTACCCCCCAGCCCACCAACCCCAACATACCCCCCAACCCACCAACCCCAACGTACCCCCCAGCCCACCAACCCCAACGTACCCCCCCAACCTACCAACGACAAGGTACCCCCCCACCCCACCAACCACAAGGTACCCCCCCCCCAGCTCACCAATGACAAAGTACCCCCCAACCCACCAACCCCAACGTACCCCCAACCCCACCAACGACAAGGTACCCACCAACCCCAACGTATCCCCCAGCCCACCAACCCCAACGTACCCCCACCCCACCAACGACAAGGTACCCCCAACCTACCAACCCCAACGTACCACCCAGCCCACCAACGACAAGGTACCCCCCAACCTACCAACCCCAACGTATCCCCCAGCCCACCAACCCCAACGTACCCCCACCCCACCAACGACAAGGTACCCCCAACCTACCAACCCCCAACGTACCCACCAACCCCAACGTATCCCCCAGCCCACCAACCCCAACGTACCCCCACAACACCAACGACAAGGTACCCCCCAACCCAACCCACCAACCCCAACGTACCCCCAACCCAACCCACCAACCCCAACGTACCCCCTAGCCCACCAACCACAAGGTACCCCCCCACCCCACCAACGACAAGGTACCCCCAACCCACCAACCCCAACGTACCCACCAACCCCAACGTACCCCCCAGCCCACCAACCCCAACGTACCACCCAGTCCACCAACCCCAACATACCCCCAACCCACCAACCCCAACGTACCCCCCCAACCCACCTATAACAAGGTACCCCCAGCCCATCATCCAGACACCTCTCCCCCCCAGCAAGTCCAAAGCAGATGCACATGTTCTCCAGGTGCTCTGGAGACATACTGGGGGATCTAGGCCAGCTGGGAAACTGGGTCATTCTCGTGTATTTTGGGTGTTCCCCGGGGATGGAGAAAAAACTGGGGATCCCTCTGAACGCACATCTGTGGCTGGGACCTTTCTGTGTGTGGAGTTTACATGTTTTTCACAGACTGTGTAAACATCTCCTTCTGACCATGACTTACATTGGGGCCCCCTCTCTCTGTAACTGCAGGTGTGAGTCTTCCCATTTTGGTCTTAAAATGTTCATATTATCTCACTTTACAGTATCCTGTTTTTTTTATTTATATATTTTGTCCATAAAATTCACCCCTGTAACCATTGGCATCGTGAGCCCTGATGCTGTGGGCAACATCACACTCACTTAGTCCACTTCTTTATGCGGTCAGTGATGTTTTCTCTGTCTATGGATTGGTCTTGTTCACGGTCCCTAGTTTGTGCCATCATCTAAAAGCATGCACAGAAATCCCCTGACGAGGTACTCCTGACTAATGTATTTTAAGATTGTCTCAGAGGAGAATTGAAAGCACAGTGAAAACAGAAAGAACCAGTGACAGGTGAACTCTGGAGCAGTCCCTTACAGGTGGCTCACACTGACAAAACCTCTGCTCTGGAGGAGGGCCGTGTGCAGGGGTAAAGTTGTTTCTGTAGATGAAGCCAGACTGGGTGTGTGGGACCACTGATGTAAAACTAACTTTAATTCAAATATCTTGTGTTTTTTGTAGCTGTACTTTACGGAGATGCCGGACATGGATGTGTACGTGCGCAGCTACGGCGGCTGGATGCTGTCAGTCACCTCCAGGTTACAGGCCCACCAGCTGACCAAAGAACTGGACCGAGTGGGGGCCTCCTACAACCACACCCACCACTACGGAGTGGGCTATGACAGGTGCAGCACACTGTGGAGGGGTACATGACAGGTGCAGCACACTGTGGAGGGGTACATGACAGGTGCAGCACACTGTGGAGGGGTACATGACAGGTGCAGCACACTGTGGAGGGTCTATGACAGGTGCAGCACACTGTGGAGGGGTACATGACAGGTGCAGCACACTGTGGAGGGTCTATGACAGGTGCAGCACACTGTGGAGGGGTACATGACAGGTGCAGCACATTGTGGAGGGGTACATGACAGGTGCAGCACATTGTGGAGGGGTACATGACAGGTGCAGCACACTATGGAGGGGTACATGACAGGTGCAGCACACTGTAGAGGGTCTATGACAGGTGCAGCACACTGTAGAGGGTCTATGACAGGTGCAGCACACTGTAGAGGGTCTGTGACAGGTGCAGGTACACAAGCGTATATGAAGGTTCTTGTTTTTGACCACAGAGGGACTCCTGGGGTCTAATTTACACTGACTAAGTTTGGTCCATTTGGACTCAGATGTTGTCTGTCCTTGTCTCCTCAGTCCTCTGAAGCTGCTCAACAGACACAATGAGGTGTGGTATGTTTGTGAGGGGAAGCCAGTGTGTACCGACCCCCAGGAGCCCACACCCCCTCACCCCTCCAGGCACCAGAGCGAAGCCCAGGAACCCACAGCCCCTCACCCCTCAATGCTCCAGACCGAACCCCAGGAGCCCACACCCCCTCACCCCTCACTGCTCCAGTCTGAACCCCAGGAGCTCCCCTACACCTCCAGGCTCCAGGCTGACGACCCAGCCTCAACTGCCCCCCAATCCTCCAGGCTGCAGGCTGACGACCCAGCTTCATTTGCACCTTCAAATGCTCCTTCAGACACCCCCACGAGTGCTCCCACGGGTGCTCCCTTAAGCTCCTCTTCTCTACATCCTGAAGCTCCTTCTGTCGCTGAGGACAACAGCACCTGCTCCAACTCCTCCCAGAGCACCATCACCACTGTGCCCCTGTCTCACACCACCCCAAATCCCTCAGAGCAGAGCACTGATAGTCCCCCAGAGCCAAGCACCTCCAACCCCTCACAGCAGAGCACCCTCAACCCTTCTGAAGAGAGCACCCAGGCCAACTCCACCCACCCAGACCCACACACCCAGAACACCCCTTCCTCCGCCTTGCCCTCGGCCCACCTCCCTCAAGAGCTGACCCCTGGCCCGTCCGACACCTCCCTGGGTGCGGGCCAGTCGGAGCACCCCCCCAGCACAACACCCGAGCACCAGGACCCCCCTCGTCATGAGCAGTAGCAGCATGTCCTCCATGTTACAACCAGATGTGGGGAGCGCTTCATATGCTTGTTTGCAGACATAGACAGAGTGAGAGGGAGGAGGCGTGCTACGAGAGGGAGTATTATCCTACAGTTTTGGAGATTTCTACCTTGACAATGATGATCAGCAGGTAAAGAAATATAAATACTTCCTGGCGTGATGGCAACACAATGACGTATTAGTTTGGCTGCTGTACCCACTTCTGGTTGTCAACAAAGCCCCCTTACTATTACTGTCTCCCTCATTATGGAAGTAGCTCTAGTGCTGCTAGTCATATCATATCGCTTCATGTACGGTACGGGTCCATGTACATATTTTCTGTTGTATCTATCAGGGCTGTTTCTAGTTTACTCGGGGCCCTGCCAAAATTCAGTTTGGGGGCCTCTAATTTGACAAACCACAAAAGAGAGATTCCCGTCACAAAAATCTGTCTTTCAATTCATGCGTTATTAATGTGAGTGGGGTAGCCTCTTCACAGATCTGACCTTTCAATTGGCCTCGTAGCTTTACCTCCTGGAAATGGAACAACATTTCAGGCAAAGCAAAAACGTTTCCATGGAGCCAAGAATGTGGCAGACCTTCCACTAAATAAATAAATAAATGATCCAAATATACATGTTTATTCAAATCAAATATTGTTTAAAATAGCATACACCCTTTTGTGATTACACATCCAGTGTGGAGTCCCCTGTAGGTGTATTTTAGCCCCTCATGTTTTTACCATAATCTGTTCAGAGCTAGAAACAGCCCTGCAGCGCCACCTGTTGTAATCATGCTTGCTATTCCTTTTGAGTTGCATCTCATAAGCACTTTAAACGCATTTTAGTCATTAGTGGTATTCTAAGGCAATAATTCTGTAACACATTTCAGTCTAGTCCATACAGCGTCTGAAGTGGTGTGTGGATGATCTGTTGTTGTGCATACACTGCTGCTTTAAAGAAACCCAGAAGTGGTGTTAGCTAAAGTTACAGCTTGTGATGTAATAGGATTTTACCCACCACATGTAAGTCTTATGCAAACAGCTCTGTTCAGTAATATCTGTTACACAGTCAGACACAATAAAGTCATTAAATCAAATGATCCACTCATCTGTGTGTGTGTTTTGTGTGTGCTCTGACTTTTTGGATATGTTTTATCTAAAGAAGCAAACTTAAGTCACAAAGCTTTACTGAGACTTTACTGTATTACCACAACTAATACTTTTTATACACTACCGTTCAAAAGTTTGGGGTCACTTAGAAATTTCCTTATTTTTGAAAGAAAAGCACTGTTTTTTTCAATGAAGATAACTTTAAACTAATCAGAAATACACTCTATACATTACTAATGTGGTAAATGACTATTCTAGCTGCAAATGTCTGTTTTTTGGGGGCAATATCTACATAGGTGTATAGAGGCCCATTTCCAGCAACTGTCACTCCAGTGTTCTAATGGTACAATGTGTTTGCTCATTGTGTCAGAAGGCTAAAGGATGATTAGAAAACCCTTGTGCAATCATGTTAGGACAGCTGAAAACAGTTTAGCTGGTTAGAAAAGCTATAAAACTGACCTTCCTTTGAGCGGGTTGAGTATCTGGAGCATCATCACATTTGTGGGGCCGATTAAACGCTCAAAATGACCAGAAAAAGAGAACTGTGATGTGAAACTCCAGTCTATTTTTGTTCTTAGAAATGAAGGCTATTTCATGCGAGAAATTGCCAAGAAACTGAAGATTTCCTACAATGGTGTGCACTACTCCCTTCAGAGAACAGCACAAAAAGGCTCTAAGCAGAGTAGAAAGAGAAGTGGGCATCTTGATCGTACGTACAGACGCAAGAAGTGTCCATCCAGCCAATCCAACTTGTGGGAGGATTCTTGAAGCGTGGGGAGAAATCTCTCCAGATGACCTCAACAAATGAACAGCTAGAATGCCAAAGGTCTGCAATGCTGAAAATGCTGCAAATGGAGGATTCTTTGACGAAAGCAAAGTTTGATGGAAAAAAAAACAACATTTCAAATACAAATCATTATTTCTAACCTTGTCAATGTCTTGACTATATGTTCTATTCATTTTACAACTCATGGTGGTAAATAAAAGTGTGACTTTTCATGGAAAACACAAAATTGTCTGGGCGACCCCAAACTTTTGAACAGTAGTGTACTACCATTCATGTAATAAATAAAACACACACACACTTTCTCCCCTTTCCAGAGAGTCATAATGTGGCTTTAATTAACTACCCAAGACAGGAGTCAAGTAGTATTTTTTTTTTCTGCAAATCTTTATTCATTTACTGTTCAGTGTAGTGCTTACAGCATTCAACAAGTCATGGTAAAAATCAGTATGTCAAGATTACGAAGAAACTTATGATGCACTACTGCTGCTTATCCACAGGGGGCAGAGCTGGAGTGTAGGACACACAGGGCTAACATGTCAGGACATTCACTCAGACGTTCAACCCACTGTGACCTCCAGCTCACCTGCATGCATGTCTTTGGATGGAGGAGAGAGAACCACTCTGCCACAGTAACACAGGGAGGACATGCGCACTTCACTCAGACACCCACAACCTCCTTATTATGGGAGAGCTTATTATGGTGTGATTTATCATACAATACAAACAATATGATACAAATGTCTACTTTGATAAATGATTGTTTTTACTACACAACCATTAGTGGTATTTTAGAATAGGTGTTCAAAACAGATCCAAACAGTTTGTAGCTGTATAAAACATCCATCCAGTCCTAGGAGTCTAACTTTTACTTATGTATTCCAAGTATAACAATATTGTCAGAATTTTGGCAATGGTAAGACTGACTGCACTGAAATGCTCTGTTACTGTCTGTGTGCCAGGGCCAGAGTAACAGTTTAGTGCTTCACTCACTGATTGTGCAAGAATCTACCACAGGTTTCAGTCCCCTGTCATATTTTGTCCTTTTCTTTCTTCAAAAGCAGACATATTTTTAGGTGGACCATGCATGTCCTTGATCCACCTGTCAATCACGCCCATCTGAACTCCGGTGACCAGACTCACATCTTTGTAAAGCATTAAAGAAGTGTGTGTTCTGGATCCCAGGCAAACACTTTATAGCATGGCAACTAAACAGGACTTGAACAGGACCAAACCATCAGGGAGTTTACCTCATTCTCAGTTTATGTGCAGGATTCATGTGAAGCTCAGAACCTGCTGAGGGGAGGTGGTATAGGTGAGTTTCATTGTTGACAAAAGCGCGCGTTGCATGCTGGGAATTATTTTGGTCGGCGGCAAGAAACACTAATTCAACATGACGGACGGAGCGAGAAAGCACGTAAAGGGTATTGATCCCGGTAATTTATCCACTCTAACGGCAGAGGACCCAAGACCATTTGACCAGAAATTGGTCATAAACATCGACGGAGCCAAATCACCCTTTTCAACCCCGACAAAACCTTGGACCAAACCGAATTTCTGGTCAGAATCGCCAACTACCTGGACAAATATTCACTTGGGTGATATCCACAATGACTTGGTGGAAACTCCTGGGCCATTCACAGCAGAAAAGATGAAAACCTCCAAGAGTCTCGATGTGTTGTTGAACTTGTTGGAGTCCACGCTTTGTTAGGATCTTCTACATTTGCTCTGCGAATGTTTGAAAGCCGTTTAATTCACCGTTAGTGGTTCTTTTCACTCAGAATACGAAAAAGACATTTTCCTTCTTCCGTGCTTCTATTTGTGCATCCGATAATGCAGCAGGAATTTACCATTATCGGGGAGAAATACGCAAGGTTACGCACTGTGTTTGACGCTACCGTGTTTCTTGCCTCCGACCAAAATATTTCCCAGCAGCAACGCGGGCTTTTAATAACAATGACGTCAGCTGAAACTCGCCTACTCTGTGTTGGCAAACCGCTGTGCATTGTGTGTTATCTGCTTAATGGGGAGCGTTGGTACTGGCCGTCCTGGTTTGAACGACTCTGACTCTATACAATCCATAAACCCACTAGTGCCCTCAGAATACACCTGCTCTACAGGCTCAGACATGTGGGGAGGTTCCTCAACACTGACACATCACAGCACTGTGAGGAGTGGACATGGTCCCCTGATATCTACAGTGTGCTGAGGGAGAGTCACTTTCTCTTTACGGGTCGTGGTAAATCTTATAAAAAACATAATACAAAATAAACAACTTGTGCAAATTGGATAAGATACTGTAAAAAAAGCACTTTGTGTGTGGATATTGTAGCCTGACCAGCCTGACGCTCTCTTTCTGAGCTGTACAAAGAGGTTAGTCCAGTTCTGGTCTCTTGTGGCCTGGCCCACAGACTGTATTTATAAATGCACAGAGCCAACCTGACAGTTTCCACTTTTCAAACAGGAAGTGAGCATCAAGATATGAACATTAATAACAATGAGCTGTCCTCTTTCGCCGAAGTCGCTCCAGCTAGACTTTGGTTGACAACGTAGCTCAGTGCCTGCTCTCTGCTAAACCAGCTGTGCATCCTCGCTCCTCATTGGCTCTTTGGTTGCTATGATACTCAGTCATTCCTATTGTGGAACTTAGCTCAGCAAATTTACCCCTATAACTGCTAGACTTGTTTGGCGTCATTTGGAGCATGGTGAGACCACACTCTCTTAGTCTGCTTCTGTTATACAGTCTGGGGGCTGGCCAGGCTAAGGACCCTTCAGAAAAAACACAAAACCAAAGCCTATTCAACCTAATTAAACAACAAGTTCAGAACTGTAGCAGCACAGAGCAGAGGTCAGGTATTAGAGTTCATTTATTTGAGGCAGTGCTCTTCCTGGTGATGCTGGCTCTCCTGGTGGCTCCGCCCCCGGCCCCGCCCCCCTGCCACAGCGGCCCCGGGATGGTGAAGGCATCCACGCTCATGCCCAGGGTCTTGGAGGGAATGGGGCAGAACTGTTTGCGGTCGGAGCTGTACTTGTAGATGGACTGGACCTGGGCACAGCTGACGGAGCGAGGCCCCACCCCCGTCAGCCGCACCAGCTCCTGGGCGTCCGGGTTCAGTGTGTACACCCCCCGGAACTGACAGCTGGAGTCCCGGAATAAGATCAGGAAGTGGTTAGCGGGGCTCTTTTCCATCTCCTGTGGACAGCAGAGGGCAGTGTTGGGTTTGGAGCTGCATCATGAATTATACATTTCAGTTAATGGGCCCATATTAGACTATTCTCTGATCCACTACAGTGTTGTCTCCTCATCAGAAAACAGAAAACACTCCACTGTTCCATCTTTTGATGTCATGTGATAATACAGGAAGTGCTCCACTGAGCTTTTAAACTCCACACACTCTCACCAGAATCATTTGTTAAAAGGTTGCTTAAGTTTAAGTTTTTATTTATATAGTCCTCATCCACTCAACACTTGGAAGCTGTTGAAAACTACCACTTTGTGACATCACAAGGTGGAACAGAGCATTTTGAGCTTTGGAGCTGTAGACAGAAAGACACTGAACATGTGACGGAGAGGACTCGAGGGCTGCCTGTGTAAATTAGGGGTGGGACAGTTCACAAAATTCACGGTTCAGTTTGTATTGTGGTTTAAGGTCGCGGTTTTCGGTAAGGTTCTTTTTGTCATTTTTTTCTTTTTAATCTCTTCAATCTTTTTTCTTTTTGTGGCCATACCGGCTTGTTAAAGCCTGATTTCGTCAGATCTCAGAAGCTCATCAGGGCCTGATTAGTACTTGGATGGGAGACACTGGCGATTCTAAGTGCCACCAATGGGGCGCCAGTGGCAAAAACTGTCGTTGTGTCCTTAGGCAAGACACTTCACCCACATTTCCTAGTATGAAAGTGGTGTGTGTGTGAGTGTTGGTGGTGGTCGGAGGGGCTGATGGCGCTCACTTCAGTCAGTCTGCCCCAGGGCAGCTGTGGCTACAGTAGTAGTTTACCACCACTGAGTGTCGAGTGAATGAATAATGAACTGTAAAGTGCTTTGTGTATCTTGAAAGGTGCTATATAAATACAATGATTAATTAAAATTAATTAATACATTTTTAATCTCCAGAAATATATTTCATCATATGCTATGTGTGCTTAATTATCCACAATTTAGGATACAGCATTAAAAAAGTTCTAAAATTCTAGTTAGTAATGTAATCATGCACAAACTGAATTGGACTTGACTTTAAGCACATTATTACTGGACATAGGCAGCTGTTGTGCTTCAGAGAAAAAAATGTTACCACCTTCCAAACCGTCCTCAGGAGTCGGGATACTTGGTTTAGTGAGACTGAGTTTTTGGCTGCAAGGTTAAAGGCCTGGCGTGCGAATTTCGCTCTACGCAAGCGTAAAAACTGCAACTTTTGGACAAGTAACTTTTAGAATACATGGAAAGTGAATGAGGGCGGCTCCAATGCACATGCACGTCTGGCGCGTATGGAGCAGCACGTTTAGCACGCGTAGATTTCAGAAAATAGGATCCATCCTTTTTTTTGATGCTCTACACGAGCGTAGGTGTGTATCCCCATCAAAACACACAGAGAGCATGAATCTCTGGTTGTACTTGTGTGTTTACCATCAGCACATCGTGCTCCTGGGGCAGTTCTGTGTCGTGTGAAAGAGCCCAGCTCCACAAAGACTGTTATTTAGTGCTTTAAAATTTACTTTTGAGATCCGTGTGTTTGCCGTGGTGAGTCTGTACAGAAGGTAAATAAATACAAGTGTGTTCAGCTGTTAGTTTCACTGTAGATCTGATACAAGTGGCTAAACCCAGTCAAGTCTTTCCCACTGACAAACACAGAGTCAGTGCTGCACGTAAACGGAGCCAGAAGTGCACACTGGAGTCTGGCTCCACTGTACGTGTCAGCGGCTGTGGTTTGAGAGGCAACGACACGGGCGCATCCTCCATCTCCAGGCGGCCCTCTTCTCTCCTACTTGCCATTTCTACACGTGATGCGCAGCACCCATCCTCCTCACCTCTTCTTTTGCGCCAAAGTGAAACAGGTCACATACGGGCACGAGGCTACAACACGCAAGCCGGGAACCATGGAAACCGTACGGTATGCACACGTCCCAAACCGTGACAAGTGAACCAAAGGGTTTTTGTTTTTTTTCTTGAACTGTGCCACCCCTAGTGTAAATGTGTAAGGGAAGTTATACTTTATCAGTCCCTTTAGAGACAGATTGATTTTCTGATTTTGACCCATCTTTCAGTGGCTCTGGGGAAACCTGTCAGGAGCAGGGAGCCACCGCTGTACAGCGCCTGGGGACCCATGTCCATGTCCATGTCTATGTCTTGAGTTAGTCTTGGTCAGGGCTACTTTAGCTGGAGGATTTGACCTATGGTGCATGTTTTGCTTGATGCTGGAAACATGAGCACCCAGAGGAAACTCACCAGACACAAGGAGAACATGCAAACTCTTTTTGCTGAGGAGCCAAGGGCTTTGCACTGATGATACTAATGCTCTTCTGGTTTATTCTTGTTTTACCTACATACCCACATACAAGTGTGTCCAGACTACACTCTGACACTGAGAAGGCTCCATCTCTCAGCTGTGACCTAGTCCTGTTGTCCTGTCGATTTGAACTACCCGTCAATTTGAGCTCCCTAGCGCTACTGCACAAGTGCTGTTCCAGTGTAAATGCCGTCGATTTGAGCTCCTGAGGCAGAAGTGGAGTAACAAGTCATATTTTAAAAGTGTTTTGGCTTTATTGTTTGTTTTGACCAGTTAAGCATCGACATGTGTGTTAGATTTGTGGCAGAATCACTACAGTAGATGATTAATAGTTTGGATTTTATATTTGATTTTATCATTTTCATTTTCATTACATTGTTAAATATTTAATTTCATTTAATGCTATTTAATATAAAGACTTCAGTGTTTCCAGTCATTTCTTTCTCTTCTGTAGTGGGAGCCTTATTTGATAGAAGATATTGACCTGTGGAAATGAGCTCCTCTAAACAAATTCATCTAAATGAATAATTTTGATTTTACAGTGGGACATTATTTGATGGTTAAATTGTCCTGTCGATATGTGCTCCCTTTACTCAGAGCCTGTTTAAGCAGAATACAACTGTCCAAATGAATTCAGATAAATAAGTTGAAACTTTACGTAACTAACGTATAAAGTATAATCACAGCATCAAACCCGCGTCTCTAATCCAAAGAAATATGTTGTAAAATTGGAGAGGTCAGGGTCAGGGTTACGGTTTATTGGATCTATACAACTGTAAACTGAAAAACGTAAGGTCACTTATTTTGACGGAGCAGCACAAATCGATAAACGTAACTGTCGATTTAAGCTGCTGGGGGCTCATTTCGACAGAACACTGAATTTAGTTCTGATTCAGTCCTACGGCACTCTGATCTTAAAGATGAATGTTTTTCCCTTGCATTTGAGCAAAATGTGTCTTACCCCAGCACAGATTGTTTAAGTTGCATCTGATTATAAAATGCTTTACCATCAGAGAAGCTGAAAGTGTGCATTAGCATTCTAGTTGTTGTTAGCAGGTACACATGGGACACCTCTTCTCCTGAGACCCATACCTCCACAATCTTGTTCTTCTGGGCCTCGTTCACCTTCCCCGCCAGGCAGCAGCGGGACAGGGCGTTGTGGATGATGAACTTGTTGGACTTGAAGCTGGGCTCTTTGAACAGCTTCGGGCCTGAGACACAGTGAGACGGGGACGAGGGGTCAGGACATGTCCACAGTATAAAGAACATCGGGGACATAAATGGGGGACAGTACCCGTGTAGTCTGGGGCTGACGAGGCACCGCTGGAGCCCGGGTCACAGTCCTTGTCCTGTCTACACGGTGACGCAGGGCGGCTGCAGACAAATACAATGGTTTACAAATGGTTTACAGGCAGTGTGGGGGAGTAACAGATTACATGTACCAGAGTTATGTAACAAGAGTACAAATTATGAGTAACTGTATTCAGTTACAGTTACTGTTTCAGTGAGTGGTAATTGGATTACAGTTACTTTGTTGAAATAAATGGATTACATAGCGGTATTTTCCTGTTTTCACATTTTGGGCTATTCCTTTTTTTTGTTTTGTTCCGTCGGTAATTCCACTCATTGCCAAACACTAAACCAGGTCTAAACCTGGTCTAAACCAGGTCTAAAACCAGGTCTAAACTAGGTCTAAACCAGGTCTAAACCAGGACTAAAACAGGTCTAAAACTGAATTTAACAAGACTAAACCACCGCGGACCGTGTTTCCTCCTCTTCTATCAATAATATTTTTAATATGTTTAAGTAAAATCTTGTCTTTTCATTTTCTTTTAGGAGATAGAACATCTTATGTGAAGATCCTGGTCTTTGCTTCTCTACAGAAAATCAAGTAATCCAAAGTATTCAGATTACGTTACTCACTTTAAGTAATTTAATGGATTATGTTACAAACTACATTTTGGGGTATGTAATCTGTAATCTGTAGGGGAATACATTTTAAAAGTAACCTTCCCTACTACAGCCTGAACAATAACAGTGTTAACAGTTAATAGTGTTCTCTCATCATTAGCCTACTGGTGTTCTATTTTCTATTTTAGTTAATGCATGTTTGAGTAATCCTGTATTATCCTGCATTCAAGACTTCAGTGCTCAGAAAAGTTTAGTTTTCACCTACATACATATTCGTGCTTTCATTCATACACCAGCGACGCATACATAATCACTGGAGGCAAGTTGGATAAAGTGCCTTGCAAAGGAAACAACAACAGTACGGACCACTAGAACCACTGCTGTCCCACTACGTATTCCTGGGATTAGTCTCCCGTCCAAGTGCTACTCAGCTCCAGAGGCCAGACAGGACTGGGCATTCTCAGAAGTACCACCAAATGCATGGTCCACTTATATTTGAATAGCTGTTGTACCTGTCGGGTTTGGTGAGTTCACCGCTGCTGTTCCTTGTGTCACCAGTAGCAGGCAGGTTCAGAGACGAGTGTGAGTAGACTTTAGTCAATCTAGAGCCTAAGCAGTAAAGAAACACAACACAGGGTGAGGGAGTGTTCTCTGAGGACAAACCAGAATTGTGCTCACTGATGTGTAGTGTTTTTACTGACCTACTCAACTGTCTTCCCTGATCTACAGAATCCTCTGACCTGAAGGTTCTTCACTTACTTGTATTGTTCCTGGGGTAATGACCTGTAGAATCCTCACTGACCTGACCTGCTCTTCAGTACTGACCTAGGGTGTAGTCTTTAATACTGACCTGGGGTGCTCTTGGCAGGGCTGAGGGACAGCTGGGTGCCCTCTCTGGTCATACTGCGGGGGCGGGCTCGTGTCTTCTTGCTGGGGGCACGTCCTGTGGCGGTAGACTTCTGCTTGAGCATTTTGTCCAGGTCGTCCATGATGCGGAGCTGCTGCCGACGGGCGTACTCCCCCCGCGTGAAATCTCCACGGCGGGCTGGGGTGGCTGGAGCGGTGGGTGAGGAAGAGGTGTGACCAGCCGGGGATCCAGAGGGAGAAGCTGCTCGCTGGTCGGGCCTATCCGGTCTGTGGACAGAGGAGAAAACAGATGATAATGGGACAAGAGCTCCAGAGTCTGTCAGTCAGAGACTGTGCACCACAGAACCCTGTGCACCACAGAACCCTGTGCACCACAGAACCCTGTGCACCACAGAACCCTGTGCACCACAGAACCCTGTGCACAATGGAACTCGGCACAGCAAAACCCAGCTACTAGAGCAGTAATCATGGTCATATAAGCTAGAGTTTCCCAGGACATGTCCATATTTTGCGTCATGTCCGGGGCGTCCGGGTTTTTTTTTATAAAGTGATGCAAATGTCCGGGTTTTCAGCACCGTTCGTTGGGGGCATTAAACTGAGCGGCTCTCATAGTTCTCTGTGACTCAGACGGAGTGAAACACAAACAGTCGGTCAGTCTGCAACATACCGAAGCACAAATGCACATTTAACAATGACTTGTACAAGAAATTCTCCGTTTTCCGTCCCGGTCGGGACAAGTGGGAGGTCATGTGCACAGGTTGTGAGGTGAGAGTGCAGTGTCCCTCGTTTATCGTGGGGGTTATGTTCTAAAAATAACCCGCGATAGGTGAAATCCACGAAGTAGTCAACTTTATATTTTACAATTATTATATCTGTGTTAAGGCTGTAAAACCCCTCAGCACAAACTTTATACACTTTTCTCAGACAGGACAGGTGCAACCCTTTTTACTTCTTAAAAGTTGTTGCTGCTGTCGTCCTTGTGTTATTTTCCTCCTTCTTTATGTAACAAACTGAAGATTCATTTATTCCATAATGGAGCCCAACAGCACAGAGTCCCGCACGGGTCCATTTTTGGAGACCCCAGTACAGGACCGCACCTGCGCAGTACAGGACCGCACCTGCCCGTTAACCCGAGATTATATCAAACTTTTGCGCTGCCTACACCAGGGACTGAACCAAGACTAAACCAGGACTAACCCAGGACTGATTCCAGGACTGAAGAGGAGGACTAATCCACGACTGAACTAGGACTAAAACAGGACTAAAATAGGACTAAACCAGAACTGAAACAGGACTCACCGTCAGGACGGGCTTGGAGGTGACCGCAGGAGAAAGAACCGACTCAGCTCCGCACCTCACGGAGTTAAACGAGGCAATTGCCCGATCGCGTTTTGCGGACAAACTGCTCGGCGTTTTCTCTCTTAAGTCCAAGATTAGTCCTGGTTTAGACCTGGTTTAGTCCTGACCCACCCGTGTGTAATTACTACCCGCCTGTAATACACAACACGCGTTCATACACTGTAAAAAAAAAAGGCAAAATTGCACAAACCCCCCCCCCAGGTGTCGGGGTTTTCACAAACGGAAATATGGTCACCCTATATAAGCTCTTATCACACCAATATAAGGTTTGTCCCTGTCCACTGCCTGTATTTATTTATTTATTTATTCATGTTTTAGACCTAAAAACCTAAAACCTAAAAAGGGATATCTTTGACATGGAAATAACCATAATTGCCAGAAAGGATACCATTATACGTAGAACCTATTCTACACAACTAGAACATGACCCTTTAAATCTTCACGTGCACACTCTCCCTGTGCTGCCCTCTGCTGCTGTGGAGGTACCTGTTGTCTGGGTCGTGCTCATGCCACTGTCTTCTCCTTTTCAGCTCCTCACTCCTCCTCTGCTGTCGCTCCAACAGAGCAGCTCTGCGCTGGGCCATGTCCTCTTCTCTGTGAGCACCCTCCTGCAACAAGAGCTCAGCTGTTACCTGTGTCTGACCACATGATCACAGAAGAGAGAGAGAGTCTGTCTGACCATGAAGAAGAAGCCTACGCCTCCTCGGGGCGCACTGCCACTCAGCTCTTCAATCTGCTCTCCACCGGTGTCACTGCTGAAGGGCTCGGCCAGTCCCTCTGCACTGGACTCACTGGGTGGGGGTCCTTCTGTGCTGGACTCACTGGGTGGGGCTCCATGCTCTCGTCCTCGCGCCTCCGCGGCTGCACCCTCCGTGTGGTCGCTCATGGAGTCGGAGGAGAACTCGTGGGTCTCATCTGTGTGGTCATCACTGCCTCCCTCACCCGGCCCCAGAGAGGACAGAGAGGCCATCAGGCTGCACTTGTCCCCAGCGGGGCCCCCATCAGGGCCCACACTGAAGGCAGACAGGGACAGGGTCTCACTCTGGAGGGAGCACTCTGAGGGACTGCTTTCCACGGCAGGCTGCTGGATGTCCTGTGTGGAGCTCCTCTCCTCCTGATCCAGCTCCAGGCTGAACTGGGTGGGGGTCTCACTGGACCCTGTGTCTGAAGTGCTCTCCTCAGGCTGTGGTGGGGGAGCTGTCTGAGGGGACTCCTGTGGGGTCTGGGGGCCCCCAATGCGGAAGGAGGAAGAGGTTTGGACTTGGCACTTGCTGGGCGACACGCGCCGCAGATGGGGCAGTGAGTCCACGCTCTGTGGGGGGGTTAGAACGCGGGTCAGAGGGGGGAACTTAAGCTCTGAGGGGCGAGGGTGGGACGCATGGGGTCGGGAGTGTGCTTTGGGGCTGCGGGGGGTTGTAGTGGCTCTAGTGCGAGGGGCGGGACAAGAGGAGGACAGGGCTGTTTTAGCAGAGGCTGAAGAGCGGTGGGACACAGAGGGGGCTGCAGGGATGAGCCACGCCTTACTCACACTCCTGGTGGGGGTCTTGGTTGGGGTGCGAGGAGGGGTTTTGGAGGCTGAGGGTGAGGGTTTGCTCTTTGGGGAGTTTTTGGGCGTGGTCCTGGGCCACTGTCCACTGAGGAGCTGCTGCTGCTGCTGTGTCAGTTTCTGCATGTCCTTCTGCAGGCACTCCAGAGCCTCACTCAGCTTCTGGACCACCTCCGTGTACTCCGGCACCCCCGGCCCCAAGCTACCGGCCCCACCCCCTCGCTCCTTACTGTCCTTAATGTCCTTACTGTCCTTATTGTCTTTATTGTCCTTCATGTCCTTATTGTCCAGGGAGAAAGTCACCTGTTTCTCCAGCCGTGGGGGGGCACTGACCTTTTCCTTCTGCTCCCTCTCCTCCTCCCGCTGCAGTTGCTCCTCCACCTGTGTGAGGCGCTCATCCAGGCTGAGCTGGTCCTCTGTGTCCCCCGTGGTGGAGTCCCCTCCTGTGTCTCCTCCCCCCTCACCCTGCTCTCTCTGCAGCTGGAGGAAGGCTGTCTTTCCCAGTCTCTGCCTGTGTTTGGCAAATATGGCTTCTATGCGCCTCTTCTGCGCTTCAATGCTCTTGCGCTTTTCCTCCAGACGCGCCCCCAGAACCAGAGCGTCAGGACCTGGAGTCCCGGGAGAGTCCTGCCGGACTGCTCCCACAGCAGGACTCCCTGGTGTGGTGGGAGCTGAGCTGGCCTCCTCCCCAGGAGCAGCAGGCTGTCTTCTCCGAGTGTCCCGCCGCTCTGCAAAACTGGTCATGCGTGGGCTTCCACTGGGGCTGTGGGTGCTCTGACGACCCCAGTTTGGCCGGATGTTCCCGGGCGTGTTCCTGGGAGTGTCATCGGAGGCCTCGGAAGAGTCCACACTGCCGTCTCTGAGCACTGAGTCATCGTCTCGGGACATGTCAGAGGAGCGTCCTCTGTCCCTCCCGCCCCCTCGGGCTGGGATCGAGCTGCTCAAAGGGGAGTCCTCTTTCTCCGGGGAGTGCAGGTAGAACCCGGCGGGTGCTCCTTCAGGCCGCAGCCTTGGCTCGGGTCTGCTCTTTCTGGGGTGGTTGACCTGCAGGGCCTCCTCGATGGTGGGCAGCTCTCCCAGAGGTGTCATGTAGGGCCCCCACGAGCGAGGGGCCGGGGCGGAGCTGCTGATCAGGTGGCTGAGGTCCTCAGGAGGGCTGTAGGCGCTCACAGGGGAGGTCATGGCGGGGACGGCAGGGGCCAGGCCATCGCTGCTGACGGGGTGAAACACACAGTCGATTGGGTTGCCCATGACAATGTCTACATCACTGTCCAGCCCAAATGGGATGCTGAAAGCCACTGCGGACAGGGGGCCACTGCAGACATGGAGGTGAGGATGGATGGAGGGACACACCACACAGCACAGCACAAAAGCCAAAGGAACATGTTAAAATAAGGTCCAAATGTGAGGCCACAGTCACAAAACCAGCACACAGACATGTACCTGATCTGCTTCTTCGCCCAACTCTGGTTTTCTGTCAACATAAACACACAGTCAGTCAGGGGACTGGCCAAGCTCCACGCAGGGAGATCTGAGTCTCCTCTATGCACTTATTATGTCTCTCATGTGGTCTATTATGGTGTCAAGGGCAGTCCACTTACCTGCTGATACTTCAGGGGGAATGGGAACAAATGGTTGTTTGAAGATGTACGAAGGAGAGCCACTGAAAAAGAGCACATCAATCAGCGAACATTCTCACAGTGTGGAGACAATTCATTGTGTGTGTGTGTGTGCGCGCGCGCGTGCGTGTGTGTGTGTGTGCGTGTGTGTGTGTGCTGTACCTGTTATTGTGTCCACTGACAGGGCTGGTGCAGTCCAGGACTCCAGACATATCTGAAAATATTCAGGAAGCAAAAGACAATGGGCCTCATTTAGGAATCTTTTCTTAAAA